TGGTATAAATTTGAAGATAATTTAATAAGTTTTTTCTTTATTAAATTATCTTTAATTCATTTATCTATCTATAGTATTAAAATACTATTGAAGTGTATAACGTAATACAGTAATTGAATTCAAATATTGATAATTGAAATTATCATTGAATTTGTTAAGTCGGGGAAAAAGAGCTTTTTTTTTTTCTGAAATTCCAAATGATAACAAATTTAATAATAATAATTTTCGTGAATTCTATTATTGTATTTGTGTAAAATAATTAGATATAAAATATTTACAGTTTACATAATATAAGCGTATACATAGATATTATATGTATAAGGTTTAATTTATAAATTTAGTCAGAATTTATTAAATTGAAATTTTGATATAGATATGTAGGTACCATAGGAATAAAATGAAGCAACTTCAAAAATGTTACAGTAACACGGTATCAGCACACACAATTCAGCAATTACAACCTATAAGCTTAATACTGCGATACTGCAATTTTGAAATAAGGTTTAATATGATATAAAAGATAAATAATAACAGAATTAATATTTGTTGTTATTATTATTACTTATTTATACTATTTGTTATCGTAATAATAAAAATATATATATATATATATACATATACATATATATGTATTATACATGTATTATTATTTTTACTCTTTATGATTATTTTGATTGGATTGTTATTATTTATATTTTCACACAAAAATTTTCTTATTTCTGCGTTCATTTTAAAATTAAAAGTAAAATAAAAATAAGCAACAATTGGTAGAAACAGAAAATCGTTTGAATATACAAAAACATCTGTGCGAGTTCGAATATTTACAAGGTACATATATTTATAAATTGTATTTATACATATGTATAAATTACAAAATATATTTTATATTATTTATGTAATACAAATTTATTTGTATAAATCTAAAATATATACATACATATATTTAAACAATATTTAACAGGTATGTGTGGTTTAATCAATCAAAAACCATACGCTTATAATTCGATGCCGCATACTGTATGTAAAATGAATTAAAAAGGTTTAACATTACATAAACGATCATTCATTACTCACTTATCCAGCATTGTAATTTTGAATTGAAAACAAACTGACAATATGGAATTTCAGGAACATTTTAAGCTATATTTACATTAATAATTTATATAATAGTATATTGTGGTTTGTATAGCCTGGTTTGTACAATAATATTAAAATTTTATTACTGTATAAAATTAAGTTATATAACGTTATAAAGACCTTCATATCGTTTTCGTAAGCAACATACTTACATATAACTCTTTTTGTTAAATGCTGAAATAAATACTATAGAATTGTTTTTTGAATCCGTAAAATATTTTTTAATATTAATTTTGTACTAATAATTAAATCAATATTATTCAATTTTCTATATATGATATTCTAAACGTACATTGCATTATGTATATATGTATGTATGTAAATTATACACAGATTTACATTTAATTTAAAAATAAATTAATGTAAATAACTTCTTATTTAAATTTATATATGTATAAATTATACCTAAATATTTTTTTATCATAAAATTCTCAGTTATATCTTTACATACATATGTATGTTGTGATATGAATAAACATATATTATATTTCCATTCATACACACAAGCAAATTTAAACTTTACACCTGAAATCCAAAAAGATAAAAAAATATATATATGTATATATATATATATTAGTTAATGAATTTTTTTAAGTTTTCCTAAAAAATTGAATGTACTTCAGTTTCAAGCTCAAATATTATTCATTGAGTGAATTCATTTTGAAATCATTTCGTTTATCTATATACTTATGCATATACATACTGTAATATAATTATACTGTATGTAGGGTATAATAAAGTTTTTTTTATAAGAACTTATGGTATAATAATTTAAAATTTATCCAATGTATTTACAGGGTGATTCGGAAATTTATAAAGCAACAAAAAATGATATCATTATTACTAAATTTTGCTGGAATTATAAAATATTTGGCTCTCTATTTAAGAACTATATTACGTAAAACATGAATACTGTTTGGTGTTCCATTATTAAAAATTACATGCCGCATATACTATATGTAAAATGAATTAAGAAAACTTCATTTTTAAATTATGTTGAGGACATTGAAGAAAATTTATATAAAAAAAAAAAAAATTCGAAAACCAAAAAAAAATAACAAGCATAATACTTTCAATCATCCCCGAAATAATTTAAAAGAAGTGCTCTGCATAGCTGGCGTGTCCTTTGGATTTCATTTCCAATAAATCATATTCGGTGGAAGTTTTTTCATCTCTTTGGAAGGAAGCGTTTATAAGGCCAATTCATAAAAGGTAGTCTAGGGCTGAAGTAAAAATCTATAGGCCAATAGCTAAGTTGTCTGCCACGGATACTAATCTGGTAGAGGCAACTTCAATTTTTACTAATAACATGGAAGCTGGATATCAGACTGACGTTATTTATGTTGATTTCGGTAAGGCTTTCGATGTTCTTCCTCACGATGTAATTATTTTAAAGTTGGGATTGCTGGGTTTTCCTGGCAACTTTATAAATTGGATAAATGCATACTTAGTGGGGAGGTCTTACAAGGTAATTTTTTGTTCATCTGTCTCTTCTCCATTTGCGGCAACTCCGGGTGTGTCACAGGGAGCCATTTGAGGCCAATGTTATTCATTATTTCTATAAATGATATGGTTTCGAAGTTGGGTGACAGTGGGGTCCTTATTAATACTGATGATATGAAAATTTGTAGAAGGATTTCTTCATTAGCTTATTCCCAAGTACTTCAAAATGATTTAAATAACTTCTATTAATGTAACTTCAACAATCTAAAGTTGAACGTAAGCAAATGTGCTGTAATAAGTTACTCGCGCCAGAGGCGCTCTTTTATAACAAATTATTCTTTTAATGGTGATAGTCTGACAAGGGTTTTTACTATCACAGAGCTGGGAGTTTACTTCGACTCTAGATTGTCGTTTTTGGGCCATTATAATTACATTGTGGGCAAGGTAAGTTCTTCTTTAGGTTTCATTAAGCGACGGTTAAAGGAGTTTAATGACCCTTACACATTAAAATCTCCTGCCTTGTTCCCACATCTTGAATACGCATCGCAGGTTTAATTCACAGGAACAGAATTGAGGCTTTTCAAAAAAATATGGTGAAATTTACTTTGCGTGAGCTTTCCTAGGGAAATCCCATAATCTTGCCTTATTTTTATGAATGTAGATTAAAGCTCATCGATATGCCCACCTTGACTAAGAGAAGAGAAATCGCGGATGTTACATTTATTTTCCTCATTTTGAAATCGGAGCTCATATCGCTCGACATTCTGAGCAAAGCTGTTATTAATATTAATGTGAGATCTGATTCTTCGAATCTTTTTGTGGTACTCTTTCATAGGACTAATTATGGTATGCCCGTAAACAAAATGCTGCGTCTTGGGAATAAATATAAAGACAATTTAGATTTTGCAATAACGAAGGAGACTTTAAAAAAGCAAGACCTGAAAACTAGATTACGCTTTTTTTTTTATTTCTTATACATTTGACATATGTACCATAGATCTTTCATTTTATTTCTTTTTCTTTTTTATTACTATGACTAAATTTTAATTTGTTAGTAATAGATAATTGTTATTTTCAATTTTAGAACCAATTTCAAGCTTGGCATAAAAAAAAAAGAAAAGAATTAAAGTAGATAATAAGTATAAATGTGTATATTTGTATGTATATATGAGTATGTGTATAATTGTACTTGTATAAGTAGAATCAAACAATTTTATAATTTTTAATATATATAATTATAGATTTTATTGTAAATTTTCATTGTAAAAAAAAAAAAAATCTGATATGATCAGCACATAACCGACCGCAATGTGTATTGTCTAGTTAATTGAAAATGTTACAGAATATTATGAAAATGTCTGTAAGGGTAAAACTTTTGTTTCCGCATTTTTTCCCCAACTTTTGTTTTTCTGAAAATGGTAGAAAGTTCATACTTACAGAAAGATATTACTGGATTACATACATATATAATGTATTTTCGAAAAGGCAAGCATTCGAAAATTAGAAAAATTGCGATTATTCCAATTTTTACTTTTTTGGTTTCTAGAATAAAAACTCATGTAGTCTGCAGGTAACAAATAAAAAATTATAGGATGCAGATAACAATAAAAAATGAAATTAAATCTTTTCTTATCAAGGCAGACGCAAAAATTCGCAACTTCGAAATTACAATTACAGCACTTTATTAATATACTTACAATTATTTGATTACAACATATGCTGTTTTATATATTACCTATATTAATAATGTACTACTGCAATTTTGAAGTTACAGGGATTCTGATTTAAAGGATATCTCAGTTCAGCAAAGTTAACTATAAAGGCTAAACTGCAAATTTTTCAAATACCATGCGGTAGTTAAATGAAATGCGAAAATATTATTATACCCCTTAAAGTATTCATTATGAATCAACTATCCAGATTTAGAGGATGTAAGTAATTCACAGCACAAGCTAATAAAATTATTAAAGTATTAGATACTTCAAGTACATACTGCTTTAAGTATTACATACTTAAAGCAGTATGTACTTGAACTTTCAATAAAGAGTAAAAAATTAAATAGAAAAAGGACTATGTATTAATTTCTTACAAAGCCACACATTTAACTACATAAATGAAAATTAGTGTGCAATTCATTCAAACATGTTTCACGTTTTCAAAAATCACAATGAGTGAAATTCGTGACGTAACACTAACTAACTGGAATGATCCAACTGGGGCGGAGAATATTCAATAGTTTTCTATCTAACAAATCTGTTTCTCATAATTATTTTAATTATAATTTGAATTTTATTTCGGGAATCTGTTTTATTATTTCTTGGGGTTATTACTTCTTCCATTAGTTATGAAACTTAGTAATTAAATTGCTTCTATTTATTTGATTAATACACAAATTATATTTAAACTATTTGTTTTTATTTTATTCTTTATTTTTTTGTCAAATACAAATTTCAAAAATAAAAATTATAGTTGATAAAAAATTTAAAAAATATTAAATTATTTCAATATTATTGAAATATATAGATATATATATATATATATATGAATGTATACTAATACCATCAAAATAATACCTCAATATATTTCTTATGTATTCATCTAATGTAAAAATTTATTTAAAAAAAAGCATGCCTATTAACGGTTGTGCTTTAAAAATTTGTTTTATATAAAAATATTTAAGTATTTTTTTTATTATTTATCACCAAATCTTAAAATTCTAGTTAACATTGTAGTTATACATGGAATTTGCTTCTGTTGATGCATTGTTGGACAATCGGGTGTATTTGATTCAAAATCTAAAGCAACACGTTGACATACAAATGTTAATAAGGTTAAAATATCATATCTTTTTCCATGCAAATCTAATTCAGTGCATAAAGATTGCATAAACCATGAACCTTTTGTTGTATTACGCCAAGAATAATAGCCTAAAAAAGATTACAAAATAAGTACAATAATTAGAATATTTTCATATCTCAATACAGTAAACAGTAAATTTTAACAGTAATAATTATTATAAATTCATATAAACTATAAGAAAAGAAATACATATGCAGCTACCTGGAATTGTTGAATAAGCAATTAAAAAATCGGCATGTATTGGTATTTTATAACTCATAGTATCGGATATTTCCCCATCTGTTTCAGTCTTTGTTAATGTAATACCGGCATCTAATTGATCACCTTGGCAAGCTTGTATAAAAAACAATTTTGGTTTACCAGCTAATGTTGGACAGTTAACAGCTGTAAAATAATGCCAAATGGAATCTAATTTATATTGTACATCTCTCGCGTATATGTAACCAAATTCACCGTGTGATAAAATAGCAATTAATATACAATCATTATCTGTATGATCTTTTCTGGAAACTAAATTAAAATAAATTCTATTCAGTTAGAAATATATAGCTTCATATTTTACATATTTTAATCTGTACATATATAGAAATTATATTCAAGTGTAAATTTTAGTTGATTCGTTTCGTACACTAAAATTAAATTACACATTTATTTTTTATATATGTGGTGAAAAAACGTTTTCCAACAAATTATATATCAGACATCCAACATTAAGCATATTTAAACATAACATATGACATTAAGATCAAGCATTAAGCATATCGCCAACAGGCGCAAATAAAAACATCATTTAGTCGCAATTATGCAACTATCAGTTATCAAGCAACAGCGTCATCATTTACAGGAAAGGGAGGAAAAAAGGGGAATATGTAGGAAAAAAAGAGGGAAGAGCAAAAGGGCATATTTATATTTTTTTTTTCAATAAAAAGGAACACCAAATTCCCTTGAGATGATGGGATTTTTTTATTTGTCTAAGAGAATATTACTAGAATTTTTGATTCCTGAAACAATTATGACGAAGAAAACGTTTAGATCTAATAGTAAGTTATGTACATATGTGCTTATCGACATTCATGCATATAAGTATGTACTTACTATATATACTTGATACAAGAAGTTTTCATAGAACTTAATGCAAAAATAGCACAGCAACTACTCTTGTAAGAATTCATTTAAATTACCAAATCAATTTACAAATAATTATGAAAAAGGAATGTCATAAATTCGTCAACTCTGTTTAATAATTTAGATTTTCAAAATATTCTAATCTTATTTCTCAAGGAATTTTCTAAAACTTTTGCATAAATTTTTGAACTTCTTTTGATCGATTTTAATAAATTTAAAAATGAAAATGAGCACATACTACTAAATATTATATACTAAATCATGTAATATACTACATATTTTTAAGGCATATTTACTTTGTTCAATAATGTATTGAATTTCTTTTAATTTCTTATCTTTATACACATGCACTTCAAATGCTAATTGTTTTAGGGCACGAAATAGATTTTCACAATCGACATTTGTACCAGCCCGTGATTTCAATGATGGTATATCAAAATTTTCATGATTAAATATTATTGCTAAACCACGGTTATCATGTTTCATATTATATTCGGCAGCATATCGTTCTACAGGCATTTTAGCAATTCTCTCGTGTGTATCACCACTAAAAAAACAAAAATACTCGTAGAATATTTTGGAATAAATTTTTACAAAGTGTTCAAAAACTTACCGTCCCGTTCCGAAAGCATCAGCAGCATCTTTAGAATTAAATTCACTGTCATTCATGTTTTTTTATTTTTTTCTTAAATGATTTATCTTGTAAACAATATTTGAAAATTTGTTGTGAAATCAACGCTTTTAAAAATTGGTTTTTCCCTTTTTTTGTGGGAATCCTTTATGTGAATAAAGAAAATGTTTGATGAATATTTTCTATTATGATTTGTTTTTTTTTTCTTTTTTTTTCTTGTACAAAAGAAATAACTACTTTGAGGCCTAAAAACACACAAAACAAAGAAAAAAACTTAATTCAAACAATTACCTTATATAAATAATAGTATTTTCAAGAATAAGAAAAAGTTTACTTTTTAATTTTAGTAAAAATGTTATAAAATAGAAGAATTTTAAATGATTGCAATTTTCATAAAAAAAGAACAAATAATTTCCATCTCCAAAATGAAAAGATTTTGTCTAACGAATTACACTATCACAAGTTATATACCATTTTGTTTACTAAGGAAATTATGAAATGATTTTTGACATCTGACATTCAGAATATTTTTATTGGCTGACTTTGTACTAGTCCTTGCGTTCAATAAGTACTTTTAATCTGTTTTGATTGTATAGCAAATTTGTGTTTGATTTCTTTATTTTTAAATTGACAAGATTGTAGTTGATAATATCAAATAACTTTCATTTTTTATATTAAAAATTAATCATAATTAGTGATTTATATATATAAATACGTGTGTATTTAAACACATTCTTGAATTCTTTCAAAGCTTTATGTAATTGTTTCTGATTGCAACTTAATAATTTTAAATATAAATTTATTTTGAAATATTTGTTAAGTGACAAATGCTAATTAAAATTTTAAAAGGTAATTCAGGAATAAGTATATAAAAAACTGACTATATTTCATAATTTGAAAACGGACAGTTTGTAGGAACATTTTACTATATTAAAATATCAAAATATGATATGAATAGAGTAGAAAGTAAATGTTGAATAATATTTTATATTATAAAAAGGTTAATGTATTAAGATGTATAAAAAAAAGAAAGAATTATATTTGTACTTAAAACAACAAGTACATATAAAAAAATAACATTTCGAGAGGTAAATGTAAAATGATAATTGTATTTTAAATTAAAAGAAGCTGATTGCTGTGCAGACTATTGAATAAACTTCGAAACCAACTTATGCATTTATTATAAATTACAACGGCAGCCACTATTTTTTTTTTGTGCTAATATGTAATGTACTACATCATGTACATCTAAAGTATTTACCAATTTACCAATTGTGAGTCGAGTTTTGTCAAATTATTGTTTTATTTTTAATATTTAGACTGAAATTCTTATATGGTTAAATCTCTTCACATAACTATTTGTTACACATTAAGTAAAATAAAAAAGTTCGTTTTTTTAGTTCAACTACATTTGAACTACCAAGTTTTTGTAATTTGGCATAAAATTTTACCCAATGCAGCACAATTTGCTTGACCAAATACATTTCAACACTGTTCATATCACATTGAAATTTGAAAAAGGGAAAAATGGCGGAATATGTCAATTAGAATATGACATTTTGGTGGTTTTGTGTAACCTGTATGTATGTATGTATGTGCTGATGATTTTCAAAAGGAAATGTCAGCTTTTTTTCTCTTTCTTCGTTTGTTTTTGTTGTTTTTTATGCAGTTGTTATATTGCAGTGTCATTTTTAAAACAGTTTTGATAGTAAGGTTTTTTTTTGCGCTTTAGTGTTTTAACTGTGTTCAAAAATAAAAAAAAAAGTGAAAAGAAGGTAATCATTTTTTTTTTTCTTTTAATACCGAGTGGTTTTATTTTAATTGAAAAAATGTTTAAAAAAAAATGGCGTGTTAAATTATAAAAAATAAATTAATTTTAATAATTAAATCAAGTTTTATGAAAAAAAAAAATTATAAAACGGAGAAAAGAAAAATTCTAGATTGTAAGATTTTTCTTTTGCTGTTTTTTTTTTTTCTTTATTTTTTATGATGGTGTAAAAAAATTTTCAACAAATGAACTATACTTTAAGTTAAAGAAAAGGTTTTTTTTATTTTAAATTTTTTTGAATTTTTATTATCTTGACTCTTTTAAAATAAAATTTTTTAAATCATATGAAAACAAAAAATATAAAGTGTATTTTTTTTTTGTATAAATAATTTCATAAAAAGTTTACAAGTGAAGAGAAAAAAAAAAATAAGTAACAGCTTTTTTTTCTTTCAATCGATGTTATTTTTGTGTCCACCTAGCGGAACTTTTTTATTTTGTTTTTTTTTTTCATCTGGGATCAAAAAAAAAACCTTTTTTTTGTTCTTTTTGATTATTCACATTTTTTTCATTAAGTTTTTTTATTTATGCATTTTAAATGATTTCTGAAATTTGGTAAATAAATGGGATTAATATATACAAATATATAATATATCATGGTTGTTAAAATTATAATTGTGTTACAAAATGAATTTTCATCTTGAATGATCCAAAATGAATTTTATTTGTATAGTTACCTACCTACCTACATACTAAAGCCTAACACGTTTAATTACAAATGAAATGCAGAAATTTTATTGTGTTGTGTAAAAAATTCAAGGATCATCGAAAAGATTTCCTTAAAAACGATTCACCATTATTGATTACATACATACATACACATATGTACATATATATATATGTATATATTAAAAGTGTCAGAACTCTTTTAGATTTCAAAGAATATTATTGTAATATTAAAAATTAAAATTAAATCAAATAAGATAATAAAAAATTTATTGATTATTTTTTAGTTAACTGCAAGTTGAATTTCATGTGTTAAAAATTAAAATTACAAGACATTTATATGTACAAGATTTTAAGTAAATAAAAGTTTGTACCTACCTCCTATATACATACATTCATATTATGTATGTAAGCTATAATTTGCAATTGATTAAAATCATCGCCGTCACCATAAATTTTATTCATTATTTTAATTAGATAAGCACTAGAGGTGTTCCCCTAATACGTTTAATTCGCAAAAAAAAAAAAATATTTTACAACTATTTATAAAAATATTTAAATGAATAATTCTCAATCCAAAATAATTTTTATATATTTATATATACATATATAGAGAATATGTTATTTTTGATAATCTATTTAATTTATTAGGGGGGAAAAAACTAATAAATAAGGAGCAAAAAACATTTAAAATTTAATTTATAAAATTAAATTGAAAGTATTTTTATTTTATATAAAATACATAAATACCTACATATATGGTATTTGTAAATAAAATTATTTTGGTCTTGGCTTGGACTTAAGTTCGCAATAGTTAAATATCAAAATTGCGTTTTTGTTTACCTTACACAAACAAGCAAACATAGATTTATTCAAAATAATTTTCGCTTTTCTAATAATTGGTCAAATGCGTACATAATATATTGCATCCTTGATGACGTAATAAAATTTATTTTTCTGTAATTATCGCATCCATGTATTCTTGCAGGCATCAGTTTAATTGAGAAATAAAAATTTTGTTATTTTCAAATTAATATCAATTCCAAAATCTTAAATTCTATAATAAAAAACGCCAATACTCTTAAACTAATATACCATAATAACGGGTATTCAAAAGAATATGGAGTTGTGGCACGAATTTATTATATCAGTTTCCAAATTTTGAAAAAAGAAAAATTTCCTTTAATAGTTCAGAGTTACCTTCTCAACTATCAGTCAGATATCTATTTCCCCCATATTTTTTCCCCAACTCCAAGAAATTTCATGTGGAAAAATTTATAATCCCTAAAATTTATAAAGTAAATGCTTCTAATTAAAATTTTCTAATCAAATCTTTATTTATGTATACAATTTTATAATGTAGGTTGATAAATACAATATTTTAATAACATATGTATGTATGTGTATGGATATTCAACTCAAAATATCCTTTTTCGTTGGATCCTTATGTTGAAAGAATGTTTAACGAATTGTTTTCTACTAAATTGTCTAAGAATTTGCTCACAATAATTTTTTTGCGTATTAATTTTAAAATAAAGAAGGAATCGAAAAAAAAAATATTTTAGTTTTGATTGCCTTTTTAAACAATATTGTTATTATTACAAAACATTCTTAATTTTTTCAAATATTTAGAAGGCATATACAGGGTTTTTCGCATAAGCTGGCAAATAATTTCAGTGATGTTTCTGTGAAAAAATTGTATGAGGTGGGCAGATGTCCTCATTTTCGAGCTACTTCTCGACTAATTTTTCCCGAAGCTCTGCTTTCGAGAAAAATTAGCATTTTTTTAAACACATTTCACACGTTCTACTAGTAAAACTATAAGAGATAAAAGAAACTGTTATATGGGTTTTCAAGAATTTTCGAGTTATTATTTATTAAAAAAAAAAATGCTTTTATATGCTAGAAAACTAAGGAACAAATCAAATTGCTTGTAATATCGAAAATAAAGTATAATCAATTGCTTGTAAAACAAGCTCCCGATGGTTACTCTAAACATTTATAAACATATTTTTATATGTAGCAGAACTTTGGCACATTTTTTTTTTAATAGGCTGTAGCTCGAAAACGAGAACATCTGTACCCATAGAATTTTTTTGCTAGGATTGATCAAAGAATCATCCCTGAAATTATTTGCTACCTTATGCGAAATACCCTGTATAATAAAAAGAAATCAGCTGTTGATTTTGAGTTAAAAAAATGTTAAACAAGAAACATACATACAGACATAAATGTATACAGGAGAAATATAAAAGAAATAGTAATAATACAAGTTAAAAAGTAATACAATTGAAAATTTTTTAAATTATTTAAATAATAATTTATGAATTTCCTCTTGAAAAAATTTTGAATAATTTAATGGGTAGTATATTGTGTGTGAAAATGATTTCGTCAAAAAATTTATTTTATTTTACGCTGGCAACTTTACTGTGTGGGGAAAATATACAATACAGTTAACTTGATCGCTGTCAAATAAATAAATGAATAGACACATATGTATCTCCACTTCGTTAGATAAAGACAAATATATTTTTTTTTATTTTTATATTTCAGATTTTTTATTTTCCCTTTTTTCTTAATGTATCACGTTTAGGGTTACCATTATCCTAATTTTTCTATATATAATGTATTTAAAGTGATTTAAGGTTGCAGAAACTTTATTTTTATTTTGATAACTTAGGCCTTTTCCAAATATCTATTTCTAACTCAGTTCTTAAGTGAAGTTTGTTCATTTGTTAAGAACTGTCACAACTTCAAAAAAAAAAAATTCAAAACCTTTTGTCAGAGTTGCTTGAATATTCAGTGAATGAAAGAAATCTTTTTCAGAAATTTGTTCACAGTTTTTGTAATTTTTTGTTTTATGAATTCTTGAGCATACATTTAAGCTTTTTAAGAACTGCTTAAAAGTCTAAGTCGCTAGTTATGAATATGAAACTTTTTATTTGATTTAGCAGAAAAAAAAATATTGTTTCCAGATCACAACATTCTTCTGGAATCATTAAAATTTACGCTTTTTTAAGAGTAGTAAAAACTGAACAAAAAAGATGATAGTTGTTTTCAATCGTTTCAATCGTTTCAAGTAGGTATAATGTACAAAGACATTTCTCAAAAAAATATATAGATATATTTGAAGAGAAAATTTGTTTTTTTTTTTTTCTCTTCATGTGACAACCCTAATCATATTCGCAAATTTAACGTTAATCATCATAATCTTTCTAAATTCATACTAATTATCTGCTTTAGTGTTCTTTTTTTATTTTTAAGATTTTTCTATGTTCTGTTTAATGTTTTTTTTTAGTTCATTTGTAAGTATTTAAAAAAAAATGTGAAGATATTTCAATAAAAAATAAATTCAATTTCTATTTTTCAAAAATTGTTAAGTCGGCTGTGTAAAAAAGTAAAATTAAAAATTTTACATTCGTTTTCTACATTTAATAAATTTGTGAATTAAAAAAAAATGATTTATTTTGACATTTAAATTTGATTAGAAAAGAAAAAAGCAAAAAAAAAAATGGTCGATGAGTTTATTTTTTTTGTTCAAAATATATATTTTAATTCAACACACACAAAAATTGAACCTTAACTCAGCAACAATAGTCACCATCTTTGTTTTTTTTTTTTTTTTTTTTTTTTTTTTTCATTTTCTACCTTTTTCCTATTTCATATTTCATTAAATGTTTACACTTTATTGCAAATGTAGTGTAATTCACTACATTTTTTTTTATGTAAATTATTTCTTATTGAATTACATTTGAAGGCTTATTGTGAATTATTGTGATTTCATCAATTCTAATAAATAAAACAGATTAGTAAAATGCGTATAGCGAATTTCCACAAAGAAATCTTTGAAAATGTAATGTGACAAGTTAACAACATATTGACAAAAGAAATCTTCATTTCTTCATATTTTACTATTTATTTACATTTTAAATAGTAAATTAAATGGTCAATTCTAATGGTAACGTGGTTAAAATTTAAAATGGTGAATTTTCAGTTAACCCATTAGAATTCAACAAATGAAAATTTTTATATGCAAAAAAAAAAACCAGCTGTAATAATGTAAATGTTATGTTTTTATTTTATTTTTATTATATTGATAATATTCCCATTTATGTACATTCATAATTTCTAAATGCAAACGTAATCGCAAAGTTTGCACCAATAAATCATTTACAAGCAATACTTATAAAAAATAGTTCTGTTGTGTTGCTTTGCAAAAATATTGCATGGCTTACAATTTGCATTTTGAATCATAATTTTGAACTTTTGACTTGGACCTCAACAAATCACGTCTAAAAAAAGCTCAAATTTTAATTTTTTTTTTTTGGTTTGCAACTTGGGTCATATGACATTGCTAGTTTTATGTTTTTGCAAAATGGATATATGTTGTATGTGTTGTACTAAATGGGTTAAAGAATTTTTATTGTTCTTTTCTTCTTCTTGCCATTTATTCTTATCTTTTTTCTTACACGTAAAGTGTTGTGTACATATAAATATTATTCACTTTTTTTTTCTTCCGGCCTCTTTTTTTTTTTCTTTAGTAAAACAAAGTAAAGTTGCCGCATGTAAAAACGCTGCTTTTAACGCAAAAAGGGAAATTTTCATAAATGAAAGATGTGACAGAATATTTTGTGTTGTGATATTTTTTCGATTTCGATTACACCAGACCATCGATTTATTTTGTTCTTTTTTTTTTTCTTGTTTTTCTTTGTTATTTAGAGATTTATTTTATTTTTATTTTTCAAGATTTTGTGTTCAAAAAAATAAATAAATTAGGTTTGAGATTTTTTTTAAACTTGTTTTTTTTTATTTTTTTTCGTTTAGAAATTAAGTAACAAAATATTAAAAATATGATTGTCTCTAGATTAACGAAAAAAAAAAATTTATCTAGTGAAAAAAATAAAATTTACAGTTTCAATTTTTGTATATTTGTAGCAACGCTTGAAAATGTGAAATCCATTTAAATGAAAAAAAAGAAAAAGAAAAAAGTGAAAACCATTTAAAAAAAAACAATACAACAATAATAACTGATGAAAAAAAGGAAAACTGGCAAAAATAATTCAAAACTCTTATTAAAAATTAAGAAAAAAATCGGTTTATTTTTTATTATTATTATTGAGTAAAAGTGACTTTGAATTTTTTTTTTAATAAAAACATTATTTGTTTATTTTTTATATGAAATTTGTAAAATTAATATAAAAAATTGAAAAAATAAAAAAAAATAAAAATGAAAGTCGACACTAGTCGGCTAAAAAAGGGCACCTCAGAGGTGCCTATTGAGTGTCAACAATTAATTGATCGTTTATCAACATGTTCGCGTTCCGAATTAATAATTGAATTATCAAAAATTGATTCATGGACATTTGGTAAATGTGAATTATATCACTGGATAACAATATTGGATAAATTTGATCGTATATTAGAGGAGGCTGCTCAAACATGTCATAATAATAATATTGGTGGCTGTTGTACAACAACTAATAATAACAATAATAATTATAATACAAATAATAATAACGATAGTATTATTAATTTAACATCAACAACTACAGCAACAGGAGGAGCAGGTGGAGCAACAACAACATCAAGTTCATCAAATATGAATACTTCTATACCATCATCAACATCAACAACAACATTATCATCATCATCATCATCATCATTTTCATCATGTAACAGTAATAATAGTAATAATATAAATAATAATAGTAATAATGTAAATAATAATAATAATAATAATAATAATAATAATAATAATAATAATACTGTTAATGTTGGTGGTATTAATGGTAATAATTGCATTAACAGTAATGTTAATCAAAATAATAATAGTTGTGAAAATGAATGGAATTTAAAATGTGATACAAATTTTAGTCCTGAGGTAAGTTCTGCATAAAAAAATAATTCATAGAAATCAAAAAAAAAAAAGGTCATTCAACAAAAAATTTTACGTTCTTACAATAAAATTCTACTATTCTACAATTCAAAATGCATATCGAGTCGGAAAAAGGACTTTTTTGACACAGTAATTGCATTTATTTTAAGAATACATGCACACATATACAGAAATAGTCAAATTTACTTTCTTTTATTTATTGCTAGACTACCCATCGGGTTTAAACTGTGATTAAATTGAAAACAGCATTCATTACCAAATAAAAAAAAAACAGAAATGTTCACATATCGGAATAAATTTATGTTATGCGATAGGGTAATTTTCACTTACTCAAATAACAATTATTCACATGAAAGTATCGGGAAAAGGGTACCAATCTGGAAATAATTAATATATAAGGATTGTTAGCATATCTTGATTATATGATATACATATATGTATATATATTGTGCAATATTATATTGTTTTTCGGATTTTGTATATGTTCTTTCACTAAATACATATATGTATTTGTTATAATTTTGCATTACGTTTTCCTTGGTACCCAATACGCTTTCATATTTATACAAAAGTATGAATCTTGCTTTGATTCTATTTCGTGCTTACAATTGTAAATATTTACTCCTAAAAACAGCTTTAAGCGAGAAGTGAATGAACCTATATTAACTTTTAAATGATGCAAAATAATTGTTTCTTATATCCTTCCTTTATACTTATACTGTGTTAAAAATGAAGATTTAATTAAATGCGCTACAAGATAATGGTTACTTAATAAGTTAAATAAGGATTTGGATAACAAGACTTCTACTTTAATTTTTTTTTTTAAAACTGACCTTTATTTTTTAGATAATCAGCCCTATCATGAGATACACTCGTAGAATCCTACGAATTATGAACTTAACTGTGACGTAGAGATCACCAATTCCTTTTATAGAAATTATGAATCAGCAATGCTTTGTCATTTTTCGGAGATTCAAAATCGGTATTTTAATCCTCTTCTAATTGTTTGTTACGTTAATTAATTATTTGTTTCGTAGACTTTTGAGGGTTATTTATGCTACGAACGTTATTTTCAATTACTTCATTACGAATATTCGTAGTAGAATTTTAGTAATTCGTAATTAATAGTATGATATTCGTATTTTCAGAGCTACGAACGAAATTCATGATAGGACTGAAAAAGTTGTTTTTAAATTGTCTTACACATATTTTTTTTTTCGTTTTCTTTTTAATTGTTGAAGGATGTTAAACTACTTCTTTTGGTTTTGAATTTTACCACGCTACTGATTGAACATTCATTTTCAAGACATCTATATAATTCTATTGAGCATTTAACAAAATTATTTTGTTCTAGTAATATGAATATTGTCTTAGGTGTTCTGAATCTATTATATATGTTTTCAAAAAGAAGTAATTTTATAACACGTTTAACAAATAATAAAAAAAATTCACTACTGGCTAGATTGAATTTTTTTGCCGAGGTAAGTGGAATAAAAATTTTAAAATAAATTTTAATAGGTTAAAATTAATATATCAATTTATGTGTTTTCCATTTAATAAAAATTTACAGAGTTGGGGTGGTAAAGAATATGGTTTTTCGTTAGCAGCATGCTGTGAAAAATTAAAGTTACCAGATACAGCTTCAACATTATTTTATGAATTTTATTCGAATAGCGGTATATCAAAAACAATTGAATATGATGATATAACTGTTGATTTTGGTACTAATAAAAATGTAGATGAATTAGCAAAAAAAATATTTTTACATCATAAAAATGATTTAAAAAATTTAGATGAAGATCAAAGAATGCATATATTAATAAGAATAAGACGTGCTTGGGCTTTTAAAAAACATTCAGAACGTTTACATTTTGTACAAGCAAGATTACAAGCATTATCTGTTTTAATATATTCGAATTCGGTACAAGAAAATATCCATCAACTTTTATATCCTGGTTTCTTAGAGGAATTAGTTGAATTAATGGGATTAACAAATCCAAATTTGGTTGAAATAAAAGCAGCAGCGCTTAGAACTTTAACGTCAATTATACATTTAGATAGGAATCCTCATTTTCCAAAGTAAGTACATACATATTTTAATTATAATTTAATACTTTTCCATTGAAATATTTATTGAATTAATATTATATAATTCACATGATATATATAAATATTCAAATTTTAAAGGAAACCAGGTTCTCGTTTATCAATGATAATAGATGTTACCGGTGCTTCATCATACCATGGTTTTTTACCAACATTGGTGCGAACATGTATAAATAGTTTAACATCATTTAATAGTAGTATCGGTGGACAATTTCAACAATTAAGATTAAATCAAAATCATAATACTAATATTAATAATAATGATAACAATAACAATGATAACAATAATAATAATAACGTTAATAGTGGAACATTTTATTTAAAAAATTATAGTCTTGAACATAATTTTCCATTACCACTTGCAACAGCATTATTTAGTTTTTTATATCACTTAGCTAGTTATGAAGCTGGTGGTGAGGCATTAGTTTCATGTGGCATGATGGAATCTCTATTACGTATTATAAACTGGAATGGCTATGAATTAGAACATATAACATTTGTAACAAGAGCAGTACGCGTTATTGATTTAATAACAAATATTGAAATGAATTCTTTTCAAAACCATGGTGGTTTAGAATCTTTTATAAATCGTTTAGATTTAGAAGTTAATTGTTGCAGACAAGAGCAACCATTCGAAATTGAACCACAACATTATAATACAAATAATATAAATGACATAAATGATTTTACAGGATTATTTAGTAATTCAAATAGTAGTAATGATTCAAATTCTGAGCAAATACAAAGATCATCATCATCATCATTAACTACAACATTTTCAAATATATTACGTCCAAGTGAGTTAGGAACAAATTCAATTCAACAAATTCAAAGAGCAAGAGATAATAGAATACAACCAACCAGAATAACATCAATTAATGATTCTGCTAATTCACAAAATAGTACTACTAATAATAGTAATATAATAATGAATACAGCATATGATGTTATAATAATTGATGATTCAACAACTGATGATTCACAATCACCTATTCATCGTATAAATCAGCAACATCAATCGCAGCAACAACAACAGCAATCAAATAATTCTGAACAGGAACCAAATCAAAGCCATCAGAATGAACAGCAGCGACATCAACAACAGCAGCAACAACAACAAAATACACTAGAAGATTCACAAAGAGTTGGAAATTATCAACGTGTTCGTTGTATACCAGGTATTAATAGTAACGCTTCGTCACTTGTGTGTGAAATAATAAATGATTTTAATTCATTAATTGATGATCAAAGTGATAGTGATAACAAAACTTCAATTGCAGCTAGATTATCAGCAAAAACCTGTTTACCACAGCGTGCTGCCCTACTTAAATCAATGTTAAACTTTTTAAAAAAAGCTATACAAGATCAAGCGTTTTCTGATAGCATTAGACATTTAATGGAAGGTACATTACCGTCGTCATTACGTCATATCATAAGCAATGCAGAATATTACGGTCCGTCATTATTTTTATTAGCAACTGATGTTGTGACAGTATATGTTTTTCAAGAACCTTCATTATTATCATCATTACAAGATAATGGTTTAACAGATGTGGTATTACAGGCATTATTGAAGAAAGATGTACCAGCAACAAGGGAAGTTTTAGGCTCTTTACCTAATGTATTTAGTGCATTATGTTTAAATTCACGTGGATTACATGCCTTTGTAAAATATGCTCCATTTGAAAGATTATATAAAGTTTTATTATCACCAATTTATTTATTAGCTATGAGACGCCGTCGTAGTAATGAGCCAATGGGTGATACAGCATCAAATTTAGGTAATGCTATGGATGAATTAATGCGTCATCAACCAAGTTTAAAAGCCGAAGCAACGAAAGCGATCATAAAATTATTAAATGAATTAGTACATTTAGGCACAGATCCCAAATATATATGTTGGAGGCCAAATAATAAAAATGAGTCACAATCAATGTCTTTTAACAATATAACGTCAAATCCATCAGTTAATTTAAATTCAGGTGTCAATTTAAATAATAGTGGTAATAATTCTAACAGTATGTCAGCTAATCAAATTTTAAGGCAGCAACATAATCAACAGCAGAATCATAGATCAAATAATTCTAATAGTGGTGTTAGTGGTAGTGTTGTTGGGGTTGGCGGTAATGTTAATGTCGTAGGAGGTAATAGTAGTGGTGGAAATAATAGTATAAATGTAAATACAAATACAAATGAAGCTGATATGAGTGATGGAGATGATGATGATGATGACGAAGAAGAAGCAAGTACATCATCTCATCATAACCAGCGTGATGAAAGACCTGATTCTGTAAGTAATCAATCATCAGTTGCAACAAATCATTCAATCGGTTGTTCGAATAATGTTCATGGTACACAATCGATTATGATGAATCAGACAAGCTCAAATGATGCAATGATAACTGATGATAATTGTAGTGAACAAAGAGAATTAATTCCATTAATTGATTATATTTTAAATGCCATGAAATTTATTGACGCAATTTTATCAAATAATTCGACAGATGATCATTGTCGTGAGTTTGTACAGCAAGGTGGTTTACAGCCGTTATTATCAATATTAGCATTACCGAATTTACCAGTTGATTCGCCTGTTACAACATCAGCTCAAGCTGTTGCTGCCGTATGTAAATCAATATTAAATTTATCACATGAGTCGGAGGTATTACAAGTTGCATTAAATCAATTAAGTACGATTGTTGATAAGTTACAACCACTACAAGTTCATATAGAAAATCCTGGTGGCAGTGTTTTATTACGTGAGTTAGCTAATTGCCCAAATGTCGATGCTGCCTTTTCCAATGCATCATATACACCGTTATTACATGCTATGAGTGCTGTGCATGGTTATATTGTAATGTTGGTACATATCTGTCGTACAGGCCAAAGTGAAATTCGTACAATATTATTGGAAAAATGGGGTCAAAAAAACGAATTATTAACTAATTTAGTACAATTATATACGGCATTAGTATGGGAAAGTACATTATTATTAGCGTTATGTACAGATGATGTTTTCCCATCAGAATGTGAGTTTGGTAAAGAAGATATTGAAAAATTACCAAATGAAAACATTAATGATAATAATCAAATTTTTACGAATAATAATAGTGAAAGACGCGAAGAAGATGATGATGATGACTGTGTTATAGTAGAAGATAACAGAAATATACAACCAATGGATTGCGATCCAACATATACTTCAGTAAATAATATTACTACTAAAAATGATAATTCAGTACCACCACTTTCAACAAACAATAACAAAAAAAAATTAATCGCATCACCTGGGCAATTAAGGTACATTAAAGCATTATTAGGTGCATCGTCTAGATTAGGCAGAGCATTAGCTGAACTATTTGGCAATTTAGTCAAATTATGTGTTGGCTCTCCATTAAGGCAGCGGCGTGGACAAAATTATCCTCCTACACCAGCATATACAAGTGAAGAAGCAAAAGATATTGCACGTGTTTTAAGTTATATCTTAGTTGATGGTTTCTCATATGAAAAATTATCACCATCTCCAATACCAAAATTGAAATTAACATTTTTAATATGTTCAGTTGGTTTTACTGGTCCTATGCTATTTGATGAAAAGAGATACGCATTTCATTTGATGTTATATCAATTTGTTAAGGAAGGTGGGTTAAAGGCATTCTTTCAAATGTTTGAATGGGCTTTAGCACCTACCAATAGCGATAATGAAAATTTAAATAATTCAAACAAAAAGAAAAATAAAAATGATAATAAATCCAATAACGATTCACATAATTCTTTCAATATACATCAAAAATTTCCTGATGGTACAGGTGAATTCTTGGATGCATGGCTTATGTTACTTGAAAAAATGGTTAATCCAAAAGCTATACTAGAATCGCCGCATGTGATCAATCCAACTTCATCACAATCGCAGTCTCAATCCACTATTGCTAATATTCCACCAACTCGTGTTACACGCACATCTATACCAATAGAAGTAACAAGTGGTGCACGTCATCACCATCATCACCATCATCATCATCACCATCATCACCATCATCATAATAGAAATCATCATGCTTCAGCATCTTCATCATCTGATTTACATCATCAAAATAAAAAAGCAAAAAAAACAATAAAAGGGAAAAAATTTGAATTTGATCCAGTTTTATACTTAGTTACAATACATCGCTTAGCTTTTGATGCTGTAATAAAAATATGGGGTATGAAACCTTTACAAATTTACGGTATACGAATGACCGAGTCAATGATGTCAATATTAAAGCATATTATTAAAAGTGAAAAATCTATAAAAGAAAAATATAAAAAACGGATTGCAGAAATTCGTGAAGCAACCCGTATTGCAAAATTGCAGCGCAATAATGATAGTGGTAATACATTAATTATTGGTGATACCTGTAACAATATTGATACTTTTTCGTCACATTTGCAAAGTGTAAGTTCGATGTCAACTCAAACTGGTGCCGGTGGTGGTAGTGCTGGTGGAAATACAGCTGGTAATAGCAATGGAAATATTCTTGATACTGTGTTTAATAGAATACGTTCACAACAAATAGAGAATAGTAGTAATCAACATAGTTCATCAAATAATATGGTCGTAAATCAAGAGCATTTAAGACAACTAATGGATATGGGATTTTCTGAAGAACATGCTACAACTGCACTCTTATTAACAGTTTCAGTTCAAGATGCAACCGAATATTTATTAAATCATCCGCCCTCTCCTCCTCCATTACCAATACAGACAGCTTCTCAACAGCAATCACAGCAAACACAAGGTCAAGAACAAACAACACAGCAAGAGCAACAGCAGGAGCAGTCGTCATTTTTAGATCAGAATCAACAAAGGGGAGAACAACAACAATTACAAAGACAACAGCAACAACAAGATAATCAAAGGTCACTTTTATCAACAGAAAATCGAAGAAATAGTCAAACATCAATTGAACCAATGGATGTTTCGGATCAAGAAAGTCCCAAAATTCTTAATAAAACAAATTCTGATACGGAAAAATTTGAAGAAGCAAAAACAAAGCGCCAACAATCATCATCAATAACTAATAGTGGAAATGGTGGTACATCAAAATTAAAATCGAAAAAAAAATCTGATGATAAAAAGAAAAATAATAGAGCTGAAAAAATTAAACGCAACAAATCGAAACGTAAATATCAAATAACAACTGATCCTCCTTTGAAAGAATCCTGTATTGATGAATTTTGCAATACTGCCATAGAAAAGACAATATTTTTAATGGATGAATTACCAGAAACTGTGAGTAAAGGTACTGATTTATTAGTTATTCTATACCGTCGAAATCGAAGCGAATGGAGACAATATTTTTTAATGAAAATTATTAAAGAGTTAAATGCTTGGATTGATTTTATAAGAAAACAATTACGTTTAGGGGATAATAATATACGTGTTATGTTATATGGTGAAGGTGCACAAAAATTTTATGTTCGATTGCAATTATGTTGTCTTCTTATGGATGATATATATCCAGATATGCGAGAATCAATATGTTATACAATAAATGAGCAGCATACGGTATCGAAACTTTTATGTTTATTATCAGAGATTGAAGAACTGTTACGTATTAAAACATGTGAATTGCGCGCTGAATATCGCCGCAAGGCCTTACTCGCATTATCTGTTATAGTTATTGGTGATGACGATGATGAAAACCAACATCATACATCAAAAAAAGATGTTAAAATGTTAAAACCAAAATGGTTAGCTCAAATGATAACGTTTATTGATTTAGTTGAAAAAGTTAATTTGTCATTACAAAGAAAGAAAAATATGTTAAATGTAACAACAAGAATATGGAAATGGTACGATATAAATTTAGGACGTTGGAACGTCTATTCACCACTTAATAACAAAATTATTGATCAAGCATATGAAAACGGTGAAGCATCTGTACCAATAACAAGCGGTCGACAAAGATATACAATTAATTTCAATTGTATGTCACAAGTAAATGATGAGTCTGGCAATCATCGTCCTGTTATCCTATCATTAAAGGCTGCGGAAAGATTTCTCCATCCATCACAACAACAACAACAGCAGCAGCAATCACAAACGCAAGCTCCTCAGTCTCACGCGTCCAATCAACAAAATTCAACTAATTCTACTACAACTACAACAACAACCACAACAACAACAACAACAACAGGAATAGGAAGTGTTCCGCAAGTGACAGTTGCTGGTTCAACAGCATCATCGATTGCATTAACAACATCTCAACCACAACAATCTCAGGGATCCACATCTTCATCATCATCTATAATACCATCAATTACAGTTCCAACAAGAAGATTTTCTAATCAAATTAACATTGCAAATAATTCAACAATGCCAGCAACGACATCAGGAATAATAACTGCTTCAACAAGTGGTGGAGTTAATTATAGTAATATTAATATTGATCAATTATCTATAACAACAACAACAACGACGTCATCATCGTCAACAACACCAACAATAAATAATAACAGTAGCGTTAATACAAATAATAGACCATCTGGTTTACCCTTAATTGTTTCAAGTGATGATTCTGAATGTAATGAATGTGATGAAAGTAATGAATGCAATTCTGATACTCAAGATGATGACGAAGAAGAAGATGATGACGATGACGATGATGATGATGATGATGATGATGACGATAATAATGATGTCGATGATTTAGATTGTGAAGAAGCCAATAATGATGAAAATGAAGACGATTATAATGATGAAGATGAATGTGATTCTTCAAATTATGATATCAGTTATGATGATTATTCATCTATATCAGATTGTGAACCAGATATTGAATATAAATCGACTACATTGTATGATTTAAGTAACTTAAAAATAACGCCACCATCAGCTGAAGGTATTACAGATGATAATACACCGCCATTGCCAGGACGAGAAAGGATTTATGACCCTTTAAAAAATGCTAATCAATATAACAGTTCTAATAATGCAATACCCTATGAAATATTAATTAAATTAAATCCATCAAATATTAAAATAGATAATACACCAGTTGGTTTATTTCAATATGATACAGAAGAGATTGTATCATGTTTGGTTAGATTATTACAACCAGAAATTGATGTTGATAGAGATACATTCCTTGCTATAATGAAATTATGTGTACGTTTAACTAAAAATTTTAACAACGCAAAGGTGTTTGCACAGCAAGGTGGAGTACGTTTATTATTAGGTATGCGTCAAACATGTGGATATATGGGTTTCCCAATTTTTGCCACATTATTAATTAGGCATGTGTTAGAAGAACCGAAAACATTAGCATTAGCAATGGAAAAAGTTATAGCTGCACGTACAATGCCTACAATACCACCTGGTTATCGCGATTTATTGTTTTTACTACGTCAAATGAGTTCAGCGGTAAGTCGTGATCCAGAAATATTTCGAGAAGTCGCACAAAAAATGTTACGTATTGATTTATTAAGTCCTCGTCTTGTTAAAATTGACGATACAAGATTGTTAGTGAAATCAGTATTACCATCATCATGTCAGTTGAATTCCTCTGCTTCTAGTTCCGGTTCGAATTTATCAGGACCATCTTCTTCAACATCATCAGGTCAAACAGCAGGTCAAACAGCAACAACATCATCAACCGGTGTGACGAATCACCTGCCAAGTACGAGTTCGAGTTCTGTACATCAACAACAACAGCATCCGTCAACATCTGCTAAACGATCTAGTAATAATGAGCAACATTATATGATGGAGCCAGTTTCTATTGAAGCTGTTCACGATCTATTAAAAGCTTTAGTACAACCAGCTAGCTATGATTCGAAATTTAAAGCTAAAAATCAAACAAATGAATCGACATTTTCAACTACTTTTAATATGTCAATAAACTCTGTTGGTGGTCGTTTTGTACAAAATCGAAGTCGTGCTTTACAAACACAGCCGCAGAATTCAACTTTAAATGCAAACAGTTCAAATGCAAATATTTCTCATCAAAGCCAATCAAGTTCTCAGAGTGGAGGTAGTGGTATACCACAATCCCAACCAATGCTACAAGAACAGTCAGTGCAAGCAATTCCACCAAATCAATCAGAGCAGCTTTACTTTGATCAAATGCATGAGCAACAAAATCTACAGCAGCAGCCCCAATATGAACAGCAACAAACACAACCACAGCAGCCACAAAATACACAATGTCAGTCTCATGCACAGCAGTCTACTCAACAACAACAACAGCAAGGAGATAAACAAGGATCAGTTCATAATTGTAATGAACAATGTAGATTTTGGCATATGCCACCATCTTCTCAAACTGATAAACCTTTATTACCTCGTGCAACAATATTAAAATTTTTAGCAGATGCTGTAAGATCTTATCAAACATTTGCCCCGTTAATTGTTGAGCATCAGTATAATCCTGAGGATAGTATTTTAATTAAAGCACCACAAAGTGTTTTGTCATTTATACTAGATAAATTTTTACCACTTGGTGAACATACAGTGGATCGGGAGGTTAGTTCAATGTCACGTGTATTAATAGCTGCTTTGGCATCGTGTTCAGATCAAGTGAATGTTCAAACAATTGTTGTTTGTGAAGTTAAAGCAGCAATAAATCGTGTATTATCTCAACCAGAATCAATTGATAAACATTTACATTTACAAATTTTGGCGGGTCTTATTCCGACAATGATTGAAAATTGTCCACCAGAAAGTAATACATTATTAAAATTACATCAGATGCAACCACGTCGCAATGAAATTTTTTATATTATGGTGAGAAAAGGTCTTATCAGCGATTTGGCAAAATTAACTCAATATTTAGACTTGTCATCTCCTCATACAATTGGTACTATAAACGCAACATTAAAACCATTAGAGACTCTGTTGCGTATGACCAACGCTCCAGGTATTTCATTTTTCCCGAAAAAACCTTTTAACAGACGAATTTTTTTCGATAATGATGATCATCATCATCATAGCGTTGGAGGTTCTTCAAATCTTATATCTGGTACATTTTAAGTTTTTTAAACTCTATACAACATTTTTTTTATTTTACATTTGATTTATTACGTTACAGAAGTTGTTAATGACGTACATCCAGCTAGTCGATCAGTAGCAAACAATAGCAGTGGAATAGGAAATAGTCATCACCATCATCATCATATACTAACGAATCAAAATGATATAATGGGCGAAAATGTTGAAGAATTACAAGTTGTTGCTGAGAATTTAGTCCGACCACCAGAAAGAGGACAAGTAAATAATGCTTTTCTTTTTTATAATATAAACTTTAAGGCTAAATGGAATTTATTTGACGATAGGCACACTTAGATGATATAATGGATCAGTTACTAGAACATGCATCAAATATTGAAAATGATCCAGCCCAAATAGTAAATACTAATCATAATACAGCAACAGTACGTAGAGTAATACATGAATTTTTCGATGAATCAAGCACTGAATCAGGAGATTCTGACTCGAATGGTTCAGACAACGATGAACGTGAAATAGATGAAGATGGTAAATTTTTTTTTATTTTAATTTTTTATTGTATTTATTTTTATAACATTCTTTAAGATGATAATGAAGAGGAAGTAGAAGATCGCAGTGAAATTGATGTAGATGAGGAAACTCGTCAATTTATTGAAATTTATGATCATGTATATAATCGACATTTATCACCAGGTATTTTTGTTTTCCTTTTTTTACCTTACCTTCTGTTTGTTTTTAACTAAATTTTTTTCCAATTTCATATTTGAATCTAAAAATATTGATAAACAAAAATTTTATACAAAATAAAGGTGGATCGGCTAATACAATGGATCAGCCAAATCAACAAGAAATTAGAAATGAAGCTATGGAAAGCAATAGCAGTGATGCAATAGTTGATAACGAAACAATTAATCAGGAATCATCACGTCACATTGAATCAAATTCTGGTCCATCTAACATTGGTCCAATTCAAAATGCCAATGCACCACGTATTGAACCAGAGCCTATTGAAGATGGCAATGATTCAACAAGTTCTGAATCTGTATTCTATGGTCGCGTACCTAGATCGTCATCAGAACGTGTTGAGTTAGGTGCAAATGCTGCAGTAACTATTGATGATTTCGATGACATATTGTCGGTTGATTCTAGTGATATTGGAAATTCTCAACAACAAAATGACACATCGCTTCGTCAGCGGTTTAATTCACGTAATCCCGAAGCTGTTGCTGAATCGGTTGTAGCAGATGTTGTGGCGAATGTTGTAGCGGCAATGGAAAATTCAAGTGCGATGGATGCGGCTAATTCCAGCAGCAGTATTGCAAGTATTGAAGGTAGTAATAGAAGTTTGATAAATTTACAAGCAACTGGTTCACATTCATCTCAATTGTCTCATAACATAAGAAGACGGCGGCGTCGACCAATTCAATTCTCGTTTGCAATTAATTCACCGTTGGCACCTATGTCAGATTTTTTGAATTTAAGACGTCGACGTTATACAATTTTGAATGAAAATGTTGATCACACCCCAATTATATTGCAACAACTTTTAGGGCCTTCTAGTTCTGGAGCACCACATGTAGCTGGCTCAAGTGGAAATAGTTCGAATGCTTCTAATGTTGGGCGCAATATATCAATAAGTGCTGCTGTTGGAAATAATGATTCAAATGGAATTGCTAGTGGTGGTCAAAGTTCTCCTAGTGGAGGATTGCTCAGTCAGTTTAATTTGAATCCTTTCAGTTCCAGTGAAAATGCAAGTGATAACATTAATAATCAAAGTAATAATGATACTGGTACCGTACCAATGAGTAACTTAATTTATGTAATTTGTAATACAAATGTTTTTTTTTTTGTTAACAGGAAATATTGATGGAAGCTTGAGACGAAATTCAAATAGTAGTACATCAAATATATTCCGTGATGCAACCAGAGTTGTCTTGATGGACAATGCGTTTGGAATTTTCCCTGATGAGCATTTTCCAGATGATCGTTCCATTGATTTGGTAGATCAAGCTGGTTATCTTTTTGGTCAATCATTAGCAGCTACCCTTGCTAGCACTCCTACAGCATTACATTGGTGGTTAGAAGAATCGAAGAATTTAGGTTTAGAGTCACAATCAGATGTATGTCTTACTGTTGGACATCAACTGATACCAACACTAGAAGACCAACGTGAGCTTGAATTAGCTAAGTTACGTAATAAAAAGAAAAGGAAAGAAGAACTAAAGTCGACAACATCTGCTACAATTCCTCAACCAGCGCCAGAAGCTCGAAATGAAACTACGTCTGGCACAGCCTCCACATCATTTGGATTATCAAATACAGATAATTTTAATACACCTAACCAATCAAATTCTTCAGCTCTATACGAGCAACATCGATCTAGCCTTCCACTCGCACAACCACAACAAGAAAATATTTCTCAAGCCAATCATTTTGATTCTTTTGGAAGCTCTAATTATTCAAGTCATCAACTAGATTCCCAATCATCACAATTTTCAAATTCAGATAGTCTTAGGTTACAAATGAATTCTACAGTGCATTTTGATGATGATGATACAAGAAGTACAGATATATTTCAAACTCCTGAGCCGCGCTCCCAAAATCGTAACAATAGCTCAAGAAGTGTTATAGGTGGATCTGGACGTGGAAGAACAAATACAAATTTCAGTCCTTCTGTTTCAAGTGAAGAGGGAGGTAGTAACAATCGAAGCGGAACTAGAAGAAACAGGGTATGGTTATTAAGCAGAGCAAATCGTAGGGAGTGCAGATCGGAACTATTAAGTGGAACTGAATATATGGAAGGCAGTCCAATTATCTCACAACAAGAAGAATCACCATTACAACGAAATTCTGATTTAGAAGAAGAAGTTTTTGAAGACTTAGACATGCCTGTGTTGTCATCATTCAACGGAAATGAAAGACGTCGATTATCTGATGTCCATCTTGAAATGCCCAGATTAGTTCCTATGTCTGATTTTCAGGAAGGAGAAGATGATGAAATTGAAGGTGATGATGATGTTGAAATTGTAGAAGATATCGCTGACGAACAAGACGATGAAGAAGAAGAGGAGGAGCAGGAAGAAGAGGATGAAGAAGATGTCGATGAAACTGACGCTGAAGATGAAGAAGAGGATCAAGAAGAACAAAATAACGGAAATAATGATGAAATACATGTTGTTCATAACAGTGCCTCAGAAACAGAAGAATCCAGTGAGATTGAAGTTGTTCCCAGCACTGTTAATACTGAACAAAGAACAGAACATGCACAAACTCGAGCAATAGGTACTTTCTTCCGGAATTTATTTTATTTATTCTAGTATTGTTTATTGATAATTTTTTTAAATAATATTTCAGATTTTGAAATGACCACTCCTAGCGTACCACCGCATTCCTCTACATGTAGATCTGACGTGCAAACTGACCATAATGGTGCAAATAATTTAGACGACCTAGACGAAATTTTAGAAATCATTGACGTAAGAATTCTTTCTTTTATAAATTATGTATTCATAATTAACAAAAAAAAAACAGCGTTCTAGAGAAACTGATCATTCTTCTAATAATGAACTACGGCATCCAACCGGGCGTGCTTTTGTACACACACCATCAGAAATTTCACAAAACCAAGCTACACAAAGAAATGTTGAAAATTCTGGTGACCCGAATGCTGACACAATAAGTATTAGTGATAATAGTTCAAGTGCAAATGAAGCTACAAAACAAGAAAATGAAGATGCCAATATCATTACCATCGAAGATAGTCTTCCATCTTCAGTTTGTGTTACAAATGCTGCATCAACAAGCACGTCGTCAGCAACTGCTACAAATTTAACTGAACACAACAATTCAAATAAAGGCACTGACTCAAATAAAAATGCTGAAAAAGTTAGTGATTCCACAAGCTGTAATGAAAACGCTTTAACAGAGACTTCAAATGTAGACTCGACAGCACAGAATGCTGCTGCTTCATTATCTGTGCCCAATATTCAATCTTCTAACACTTCTGGGACTGATTTAGTGCAAACGACAGAAGTGGAAGCCTCAAATATATCGGAAGGCGCAACGGCAACTCCAACCAGCAATCGTGCAGAAATGAGTGCAGAGGTCCGCGAGGCTCTTGGTGATTTAGAAGTCCCGGAAGGTGTTGATCCATCATTTTTGGCTGCTTTACCGCAAGAAATGCGCGAAGAAGTTATTGCGGAGCATTTACGTCTGCAAAGACTACGCCAAAGAGCTCAGCAAATATCAATACAAGTTGAACATGCAGCTGTGGCTGAAGTTAATCCAGAATTTTTGGCTGCGTTACCGCCTAACATTCAAGAAGAAGTATTGGCGCAACAAAGAATAGAACAGCAAAGGCAAGCTGCTGCCACAGCTAATCCCAATGATCCAGTTGATGCAGCCGCATTTTTCCAAAATTTGCCACCAAATTTAAGACAAGCTGTAAGAATTTATTAAAATTAAAATTCCTATTTATTTACATCTTATAAAAAATTAAATTTATTTATTTTTTTTTAATTTTTAAGATTTTAACTGATATGGAAGATTCTCAAATATCTGTTTTGCCGCCAGAGTTAGCTGCAGAAGCGCAAAATTTAAGACGAGATTGGGAAAACAGAAATAGACAAATAATGCACGAACGTTTAATAAATCAAATTAGTTCCAATTCGCCTTCAACAAACAACGTATTAAATTTATATAGAAGTAAGTTTGTTAATTTTACAATGTTTCTCTAACATTTTAATTTTTTTTATTTAATTATATTATTAATATTATATTTTTTTATTTTATATTTTACAAAATGAAAAATTCTCCTTTAATATAGCTCCTCGATTTCCATTTATGCATAATGTACGTTTAACACAAAATTGGCAGTCCTCAGGCGAAAATCGTGTAAATATACATCATCACTCAGGTAGCGGTGCTGTTAATGCCAGCAGTAGCCAAAATGGTATTAATGATGGGAATAATTCTAGTCCATCACTAATGACTATTATGGAACGGCAAGGAAAACCTTTGTTAGATCATGAAGCTTTAGCGTCATTATTAATATTATTGTTTATTGATGATCCAAAATTTAATACGTTACGTTTGCATCGAGTTATTAGAAATTTATGCTGTCACGTACCAACCCGAGAATGGATTATTAATGCCTTATTGTCAGTTGTTGTCAAAACAAATGAAAGTTACTATATTGGTCCATTACTAAAAGAAAAATCTCAAGTTAAACCCAATTGGCTTAATATAAGATCAGACGCAGCATTAGGATCACGCGCAAATGTATTTACAGTTGAGGATTCGAATTTATACAATGAAGTATTTAATTTTAAATCAAGTTATGGTAAAAAACGTTTAACTGAATGGTTGATAGCAACACAAGAAAATTCAACTGTTAGTGAATCATTAATAGTTTTTCAAAATGCAAGAAAAAATATAAATGTCAATAGAAAAAAAGCTGAAAATGTTGACCAAGTAAAATTTGAAATTGACAGATATGAAATTGGAATACATCCTCAAGCAGCACAAATTGTTTGCAAACATGCAATAGAGTTATTAATAACATTAGCAAAAAGTTTTCCAAAAAATTTCTTACCATATCGCAAACCAGATATTAACAATAGTAGTGTAAACTTTCAAAATAATTGGCAGCAACAACAAGCAACTTCACAAAATTCACAATCACAGCAACATGCAGATGATCAGCAACAACAATCTAAACAACAGTTGTCTTCACATAATGAGATGTCAATACAACAGGAATGTAATTCTACGCCAATAAAATTAATTATAATTAATAAAAATAATATAACGCTTGCCAATCCTACTGGTAATATCAATTATAATTTATATGAACCAAAAGTTTCAAGTGAATTGAGAAATAAACGAATTATTAGGTCAAATGCTTATTTAGCTCTTACATCAATTAATATTGAAACTGATTTTTGGGATATTGTTTTAAATTTAGATCGGAACAAACCATTCAGAAAGCCTCCAAATTATGCATTTTTGCCAAATAGTCAGCATCAGATATTCGCATCCACAATAATAAATCCTTCATCATCGGCACCGTTAATATCTTCAGCGACGTCATTAAGTCAATCACAAAGAAATTATAGCAATACATCTTCAACGGGTGCGAAGAGCCAACAAAACCAACTTCCTTTTATTCATCAAAAAGAACGTGTGACCAATACTAATAATTCTAATAATAACATGAATTTGACTTTTGATCAATCTCCATTTGGCACACTAGTTTCAATGTTATCTTATCGAATTATTCATAAATCAAGTCACTTAACTGATAAACTTCTAAGGTTACTCTCGTTTATATCTGTTGTTCTACCAGAGGCACACACATCACAACAACAACTACAGCAGTCAATATCGCAACCTCAACAACAGCAGCAACAATCTACCGTTCAACAACCAGCCCAACATTCAAATCAATCACAGCAACCACAACAAGAATCAGAACAATCTCAATCGCAAATAGAGCAAGATCAGAGTCAACAGAATGTACCAGTGGCAACATCATCTAGTTCATCATCCTCGGCATCGTCGTCAACATCATCTTACTTATCTTCAGTGCAAAAAGAAATACAAATAGAACAATTAGACAAAATTAATCAAAGCAATATAGTTAATTTGCCCACAGAAACATTTCAAATATTACATAAAAACTGTATTTTTCACAATAACTTTAATAACAACTATGAAATAAATATAAAACGTGAATGTTTGCATACCTATGTAATGCTACATTCACATGTCAAAGAATCAGCGGGCGTTCAAAAACAGAAGTTACCACACTTACCATTATTGCCACCATATAACACTGACGATCTTTACGATACATTTTTACCAAAACCAGAAAGATTAGCTTTAATTATTGAAACTTTAGTTGATAAGAGTTGCTCTGAAGAAGGGTTAGAAGATGCAACCTCATTATTGTTGAATTTATCGCAATGCTGCAGAGATACAAGAGCAATAATATTTCGATTACTAGTTGATGCTGCAAATATATTAGGTCGACGAGTTGAAAAACAAATTCGTTGTTTATTAAATGATTTAAGGGAAATGAATTTATCCCAATTGCAAAATAATCAAGGTCAACAATCGCAGCAGCGTAATTTTAATTCAGCAAATCAAGCATCATCGACATCATCATCATGTGAAACGTCTCCAGATCAAGAAACTTTCAATACAATGTCTTCAAATTATCAAGCTGTTCCAAGTACAAGTTCTGGTATAACTAGTGTTGGATCTAAACCTAAAGGTATGTTACAAGATCGCTTTACTCGGGAGACTGTTGTAATTACAGCTCCAACTAGAATGAAACAATCGACTGAACTTCAATTAGCAAGCATGATTCCGTTAATATCAAAAACATCGGCTCAGGCTATATTTTTAAGATTTTTGAAAACTATTATTCAAATTCGTGAAAATGTTATTGATGAACATAATAAGATAATTGAGAATATAACAAAAGAAAGGCAAAATATTCAAAGTCATCTAACAAATATTCATTCGCAGCAGCCACAGCAATCACGAAATTCTTCGTCACAATCACAACAACAGTCACAAGAATCACTGCATCAAATTAATCAACAAGTGCACTCCAACGATGTCCAAAACACTTTGCAACAAACGCCACAAGTACAATCACAACAACAACCACAACTTTCACAGCAACAACAGTGTCAACAGGAACTCTGTTCCTCAAAAGCCCGATATAAAGCTGCTATTGAATTAGTTAATCCATACACATATGAAATGTCCTCACTTAGTGAATTATTGTTATTAGATAATTTATGGGAAACATTAAGTAATTGTTTAATTGAACTTGAACTATCAGCTGATTACCATGCTGTTTTGGTTTTACAATCAGCTGTTGAAGCTTTCTTCCTCGTACATGCAACACCACAAAAGAAAACAAGACAAAATACTGATGAAGATAGTGCTTCCCGAAATCCAAACATAACAATGCAAAATTTGTATTCAAGTCAGCAATCATCACCATCTCAGCAATCACAGCAACAAGAAGCTGAGCACACTACAAACCAACAAGAAATGCAACATCAATCATCAAATCAACAAATTAATCAGCAACAACAACAAACATTACAGGGTCAACAACAAAATGCATCAAGAACAAATGTTACTGGTGTTAATAACTCATTTTCTATTAGTGTGCAACCAATGGATACAGATGACTTCGAAGTGCATCATACATATCATTATAAGTTAACAGTTGATCAACGTAAATTTTTGCAATTTGCTGAAAAACATCGAACTGTGTTAAATCAGATACTACGCCAATCAACATGTCATTTATCTGATGGGCCATTTGCAGTTCTTGTTGATCACACAAGAATATTAGATTTTGATGTAAAAAGACGTTATTTCCGTACTGAATTAGAAAGATTAGATGAAGGTATTAGAAGAGAAGAAATTGCTGTTCATGTTAATAGAAAAACGGTCTTCGAAGATTCGTTCCGTGAATTGTATAGACGAAATGCAGAAGAATGGAAAAATCGTTTTTATATTGTATTTGAAGGTAATAATTATATGGTTAAAAAATATAATTTATATGCCAATCATAATATTTAAAATTTAAAATTAAACAAAATATTTCAAGAATTGTAAACTTTAATTTTTAACATAACAATTTTTTTTATTTAAAAAAATTTATTTGTAAAGATGAAGAAGGTCAAGATGCCGGTGGCTTGTTAAGAGAATGGTATGTGATAATATCACGTGAAATATTCAACCCTATGTATGCCTTGTTTACCGTATCACCGGGTGATCGAGTAACATACATGATAAATTCATCAAGTCATGCCAATCCGAACCATCTTTGCTATTACAAATTCGTTGGGCGGGTTATAGGTAATTTCATTTACTACATTACCTAATTTATAGTCTAAATCAAGAAAGGGAAATACACAAATATTAACAACTTTTATTATTTTTATTATTTTATAGCTAAAGCTATATATGATAATAAGCTTTTAGAATGTTATTTCACTCGTTCATTTTATAAACACATACTGGGGATTCAAGTAAAATATACAGATATGGAATCAGAAGACTATGAATTTTATAAAAGTTTGATATTTTTACTTGAGCATGAAGTATCAGCTTTAGGATATGATTTAACTTTTAGTTTAGAAGTTCAAGAATTTGGTGTTACTGAAGTAAAAGATTTAATATCAAATGGTCGCAACGTATTTGTAACAGATGACAATAAATTAGAATATATTAGATTGGTTTGTCAATTAAAAATGAGTAATTCAATAAAACAACAGTAAGTTTTAAAAATAAATTATTAAAATTTATTTGTTTAAATATTTGCATTATTTTATATAGGCTCAATGCATTTTTGGAAGGATTTTATGATATAATACCAAAACGTTTAATTTCAATATTTAATGAACAAGAATTAGAGCTGCTTATATCTGGGTTACCAAATGTTGATATAGAAGATTTGAGAGCTAATACTGAATATCATAAATATCAAACCAATTCCATACAAGTACGTAACAATTATTTGAAAATAATTTTTTTTTTTTAATTTTTATTCGCGTTATTGTTATTAAAAAATTATCTATTCTCATTATTGTTATTATTATTAGGTCTGTCTGGGATAAAACTTGAAAAAACTTTAAAAAGAGAAACAATCACGAAATTTCTCGCAAAAAGAAAAAAAAAAATAAATCAGATGGAAAACTTGAAAAAACTTTTACAAACTTTATAAATATGCGATAAACGTCAAATTTCACAATACATATTTATCAAATATAAACAAATGTTTTTTGGTTATACCAAAAACCGAAAATTTTGATTTTGTATTATAAATTTGGATTTTGTTTTTAATTACAATACCAAGAAAAACATTTTCGACAGCTGTATGATTTTAAAGGTTTTTAAAACACTAAATTTTAATTTATAAAACTAACTTTAAACTTTGAGAAAATGAGAATGTCATCATTTTTTCTCATTTTTGTTCGAAAAGTATTATCCCAGACACTTTGGAAAAACTTTATAAAGTTTTTAAAAGTTTTCAAAAACTTTCTTATACCAGACAGACCTATTAATTATTATAAAAAAATACTGAAATTTTGCACATAATATATGTCTGCTTTTTTTTTTCTTTATTAGATTCAATGGTTTTGGAGAGCACTTAGAAGTTTTGATCAAGCAGAACGAGCAAAATTCTTACAATTTGTTACTGGTACATCAAAAGTTCCATTAAATGGATTTGGATCTTTAGAGGGTATGAATGGTATACAAAAATTCCAAATACATCGTGATGATAGATCAACAGATCGTTTACCATCAGCCCACACATGGTATAAATATTTGCAATACATATTCTATTATTGATTTTAATGAAAACATTTTTAAAATTTTATTTCATTTTTTTTTTTCTGTTAAAAACCTTGATAAAGTTCCATTTTAAATTTATTATTTGATATTTTTATATTAACGTTTTCTTTTCCCTTTTTTAGTTTCAACCAGTTAGATTTACCTGTTTATAAAACTTACGATAAATTGAGATCAAGTTTACTTAAAGCAATTCATGAATGCTCTGAAGGATTTGGTTTTGCTTAAATCACAATAGAACAATTTAATATTACAAAACAAAGTAAATACAGAACAGAATTAAAACAGCGACATTATATAATTATGTGAGGGCGTGCATATCTTATAATACACGTCATATAAAAAATACTACAATATAAAAAATATGAAAAAATTTTAATAATTTAGACTTTGTGTATAGTAGTAATTTTCATAATAATTAAAATAAAAATAATTTTCATTAGATTTTTTCTTTGTAAAATAAAAAAATTTTACGATTTTGTGAATTTGAAAAAAAAAGTGGATATTGATGTAAAAGAATAATTGATGTATAATAGAAAACAAGTAATAAGTATAATTCAAATAAAAAATCTAACGAAAATTATTATTATGTATACATATATATAGATATGTAATTAATTTAATTATGTTTATATACATGTACACATTTATATTATATATTATTTAATAAGTAAATTGTATTTTTAGAATATATATAAAAGAGTTTGAGAAACAAGGCATTAAGTCCTAAAATTCATTGATTTTATATATATATATATATATATATATATATATATATATATATATATATATATATATATTATTTTTTTTTTGTTATCCTTCAAAATAAGAGTAAAATTAAAACTGAAATATATTTCAAAGGTAAATTATTGTATTTACATAATAAGGTACATATTACATAAACATTTAAAGCGCATATGCATTCATATTGTGAAAGATTTTTAAAATTTTGTTTTACAACATAAAGGATGTTTTTTTTTTCTTTTTTAAATATTTAAATTCAATATTGAAAAACAAAAAATATATGGAAATAAAAAATCAAAAGAATAAATTCTCTTTCAATGTATAACAGGTGTAATAATAATAATTGATGGCAATGTAATTTGTGAAAATTAATTTTTAATTGTAATAATAATGAATAATAATACAAAATTAATAAAATAAAAAAAATTATAACTGAAAACTATAAAAAAACAAAAATCCATTTTAGCCGAAATTTTTGACTGATATCGATACATACAAAGGGCTTTTTCGAAAATTCATCACTGTGCTAACTTAGTTAAGTTAGATAAAAAACATTTTTGAAGTAGTTCTTAAAAAGATGATCTTAAAAATCTTAAATATCTGTATACGCATTCATAAAACAAAAACTGTGAACAAATTTTATTCACTGAATGCTCAAACAACTGTAAAAGAAGTTTTGAAGTTTTTAACAAATTTTGCAGTTGTAGCAACTTTAAGTGAATAAACGTTGAATAAGCGAACAAACTTCACTTAAAAACTAAGTTAGAAATGAATATTCAAAAAAGTCCAAAGTAATATACAGGTATATCACAGACAAAAAATTTATATATCGGTACGTTGAATATATAAAAATTTTACTAAACTCAAATGTTTATTCTTGTTGATGATCACAGGATTAATTTCTGTCAAAATTAAGTATACAAAATTCATCTTATATTTAAATTTTGAACTTTTTCATTTGCGTCAACAAGAAATACAGAATTTTAGTTTCTGAAATTTGCAAAAACTCAAAAAGTATTTTTCTCTAAATTTTTATTAGCCCGCGATTATATAAAACACGTATTTACAAAATTAAAAGTCTCCAATTCAAATAAAATGGCTTATACGAAAGTCTTCCATAATTGTTTTCCGGAGTGGAAATTTGCGGCGTACTTTAATGAAAAATCGTTTCTCCGCTATTGCTTAAGGTTAAATTTTAGAATTCCGAAAAAACAATGTATATTATTTATATTTGCGTTTAGTAATATAAATAATAGCGAAATGTATAAAAAAATAATATATCTCAATATTATTACGTACTTTTTATTTATATTATTAAATTATTAAATTGTAATTAAACTTTTTTTACAAACAAAAAAATTTTAAAATGTGTTATAGGGATGTTGTTTATAATAGCATCAAGTTTTCTTAAACTTGTATACTAAAAAAAAAATAAATTTTGTTTCACTCACCATAGTTTCGGAACTTTTTTTAAAAAATATCCACAACGCCATTTGGATAAAACTTGCCACGCCATTTGGCAAAGGTCGTGGTTTCTCAGTACTTTTTTACGTTGGCGTAATGAATTACAGTTTCTGTTGCTAATAGTGATTGTCATTTTTTATTTTTTTCTTTTCATTATTCACATGTTGCTCCATTTGGAAAAACTAAGACCCTTGTTATGATCGGCGGAGCAAATGAAATTTTTGGCGAATAACCTAAAATTCACCTAAATTTTAGGCGAATGATCTATAAAATCTATTGAATCAAGATTGTGTGTGACAAGCTTGGCAAATAAACCCAAAAATCAAATTAATACATAGGTGTTTTTATTATCAGATATAGCATTCATAGCGATATAATGGAAAAATCTAAACTATCTGTAAAATAAGTTCATATAATTCTAAAAACTGCTGTAAAAAATATTGATTGTTTAATATTTAAGAGTGAAAAAAAGCCACCAACAGTAATTCAATTGTTTTTTAATTGAATAGATAGAAAATTCAATTGTTTTCTCTGATGTCTTGCGGTAGCAACATTTTGAATCTGGCTAATGAAAGCATTCACCGATCGTAATTTAAAATATCATTCGATTCGCCTAGTCTATTCGACTCGCCTAGTCATTCACTTCGCCGATCATAATAAGGGTAATAATAAGACAAGATAAGCTCTTACATATGTATGTAGATACATATGTATTAGATCTGTCTGGTATAGGAAATTGCAAAAACCTTTATAAAGGGTTTGGATACAAAGAGCGTATCGGATAATACTTTTTGGACAAAAATGAGAAAAATTTAAGAAGTTTTCATTTTCACAATGTTTAAAGTTTTTTCAAATTAAATTTAGTGTTTTAAAATTTTAAATTATAAAATAAAATTTAGTGTTTTAAAATTTCACAGCTGTCGAAATATTTATTTATATTTATATAAGCTGTCGAAGGTTTTATTTTTCATCAACATTAATTTTTTCAAAACTTTAATTAAAAATAAAATAAACAAAATGGATTCCCAAATGGTTTTTTCTATGTTTCACACCTTTATAACCCAAAATTTTATATGTAAAATTTTTGGTTTTTCGCATAAGCAAAAAGTATTTGTTTATGTTTGATAAATATTTAGTTTTTAAAAATTATTTCAACTTTCCGTCTGGTTATTTTTTTAAAATGAGAATTTTTTTTCTTTTTGCGAAAAATTATATTTTTGTTTTTCTTTTTAAAGTTTTGTCAAGTTATATAGCAGACAGACCTATTATATCATAAAAAAATATTCTATTGTATTTAAAAGGGGTGGGGGTAAAACTTATATCGAAATTCGAAAAGTATGTGCACCTAAAATCAGAGCTAATGGAAATGTACGCCTGTGTTCTTTTTTTAAAAAAACTTTATTTACATTATCAATTATGTACATATTTTACAAATATAACTTTAATAATACATACATATAACATGCCAGCACAAAGCTTTAGAGTTAAAAACAATATTTAAAAAATTCATTAATTTCATTCTATATTTTTGACAAACTTTAAAAAATTAAATATTTTAATCCCTGTTTAGGTATTTTGCTTCAATTAACTTTAATTCGCTTAGATTTTTTTTATTCAATAAAAATCAAAAATTAATTTTCAAATCTCACATATGTAATTACATATCTAATATTTGAAGGGTTAGATAACTTAAAGTTACTCTAATTAAAAAAGTAGTACTAAGCAATAAAAAAAGATGAATACGAACGGGTTATTAAAATAATAAAATATAATATAATACTAGTGAGCTATTTAATTTCTCAATAACCAAAATACTAAAAAGATTAGTTTGCAATTTACATTGTGGAATGCGTGTCAATTTTTGATATTGTACTTTCTCGGTTATTTCATTAAAACTGCCAAAAATGATTTGCTTCTTTCAAAACTTTGTATAAAAAATAAGAATAACTATTGCTTTATAATGAAAATTGCAAACACATTTTTAAAAATTAAAAGGCAACTAATTAAAAATAAAAAGCAAATTTTTTACTACAGTTAAAAAGTCACCAATTTTCTCTAATTAAAATAATCGAAAAGAATAATAATAATTCTTGAAAACGTCATTAGATTAAAATGATAAAGTTAAAATCTATTAAGAAAAATTTTTGAACACGTGTAAAATCCCAAATAGCTATTCTTATAATATAAATAATATTTTATATTAAGATTAAATCGTATATTAAATTAAAAAAATTATTTAAAATTTACATTTTTCCAATTTTTAAAAGTAGATATTAAAAAAAATGATTACATTTAAAGTAATAATATTTTTGTTCAACGAGAGTAGTACAAATAATTTGTATGAAACATAAATTACTTTCTGTTATGATTTTTGATCGTAGCATTGTTGTTGTGTTGATTGATTTAATACATTACTTTGATGCATGTTATGTTGCTGATGCATTGCACTACCATTAAGTTTTTCATCATTTGTCATTTCTCTAAAATTCCATCCGCCTTGCCCATCAAACTCTAATATATGGGTATGAAATTTCCTGAAAGACCCAAATTATAAATTAACTGCGTTTTGATAATTCATTTCTAACTTATTACTAAATGCGTCCTATGTTGGACAATAAAGTGCTGTGCGCGCGTACTGTCAAAAAATTTTGTTTGATAATGCGGTACTATTTTTGCAGTTTGTTTTAAAACTACATCTGCATGTTAAAATTGTTAAGATATATGCGCAACAACTCAATTTTGGTTTTACTGGTACGGAAACTATTTTGCACTAAAAAAAATAATGCCGGATTTACTAGAATAAATTTCTTTAAACCATGATACTACTTTAATAAAAAATTGAAATTATATTTCAGTAAACTACACAACTAATAAAATATTTAATTCTGTGGTTTCATTTTTGAAACTTTAAAAAACAAATGGCAATCGTAGAACGTTCACAAAATACTAGTTTTTGCAGCTACATCTTTCTGTTGTCTAAGTAATTTAAGTTCTACGTTAGAAATGCGAGAATATATTGCATTATCAAAAAAATCATTAAAAAGTCAAAACATATTGTATTTTCAGTTTATTTTTCGAAATTGATTTAATTTTTATTCATAACATACCACAATGTTGGCCTATGAGTTATTGTAAGCAAAGTTATTCCCATTGATTTTGCAGTTTCATAAATAGAACTCTCAACATCAATTGATACAGCACTTGTACATTCATCCAAAAGAGCATAATTAGGTCTATAATAAATAATAAGCATTTTATTTTTTCGTATCAAGGTTTATATTTACTTTTTTTTAATTAAATGACGAACCTATGGTAAAATAATCTTGCGATTGCCATTCTTTGTTTTTCTCCACCAGATAATATATCTTTCCAGTCCCTAATAACATCAAAACTATCCCTGTTGAAAAGGTAATATAAGGAACAATATAAAAGGGGGTAAAAATTTTTGTGTTTGTAATAAGTAGAAAAAATTTCATTTGTAAATTACAAAAACGAAATAAATTCTAAAATAAATATTCATGGTTTTGTTGCAAAATTCCAATTTCCAATAAAAAAAAATTTAACCAGCTTCAAGTTCTTATCGTAAATTTCAAATGAAATTTTTCAATATGTTACTTCCAAATATATGTATTAACTCAATCAGAGTTGTGATATTTGAATTTTTATTATGATTTATGAAATTATATAAATTGGATAGATGTTAAATATAGTAAGTTTGTATTGCATACATTTTTTACCTCAGAGCAATGTGTTCAAGTGAAACCAATTTTAATATTTCCTTTAATTCATTTTCGGTTATATTTTTTTTAAGCATGTCATCTCTTGTATCTGGATATATAATTTGATCACATAAGCTACCAATTGACATATATGGTCTTTGTGGTATGTAAAACATGCATGGTTTACCATCAATGGGTTTCGGTATATATAATTCACCACCATATATTGGCCATAAACCGCTTAATATACGAAATAATGATGATTTACCGCAACCATTTGGTCCAGTTATTAAAACATGAATACCGGGTTCAATACGTAATGATAAACTTGATACAACTATATCACAATTTGGTGTTACAACTGGTACTGATTTTAATTCAATAGCTAGTAGTTCTTTTTTATCATCAATTGATATTTTTGATGTTGACGATAAAATTGATGATGATGACAATGATGATGAGTAAACAACTTTACCTTTTGCAATTGGACGACCATTTTCAAATTCTATTACTCCTATATTATTTTCGAATTTATTATATTCATTCAATGATGTACTACTATTAACATTATTTGCCAATTGTGCCGATTCACATGCTGGTTTTTGATAAATACCTTTTGATGTTTCTTCAAAAACGCTTAACATTCCTGCAACACGATGTGTATAACCAGCTAATGACACAATTTCTTTATATGATGACATTAAACGTTCAATAGCGTCGGCAGCTGATATTAATAAATTTCTTGCGGTAGTTAAATACTGTGTTCTTTCGCTTACCGACGAATCACCAATCGAAATTTCGTTTAGCTCTTCTAATCAATTTTAATTAATAATAATATATGTAGCATTAATACATGTGAATTTTGAATTTTTAAGAAAATTAAAAAATTTACCTTTACTATTAAATTTGCTTTTGGCTGTTAAAATTGGTAAAGAAACCATTATCATACCAGTACCAGACCAAACATATTTCATAAAGAATTGTTCAAGCATTACAAACCATAATTTTTGCGTAAAAATTGTATTCATTTGTACAACAAGCCGATTATACGCTTCACGTAATTGTATGAGCTCAACCTAAAAATTAAAAAAATAAAAAAAAAATTGTAATTTCAATTTAAATGCTAAAAAATAAACAAAATTTTTTTTTCTTTATATTATTTTTCATTTATTCATAGTATTTTTAAACACCTTATGTCCACCATAAAATGCTATTTCTTCTGCGTTTGTAATAATTCTTGAATGAATATGACGTAAATATCCATATCGATTAGCTTCTTCTGATACCAACTGGCCAAATTTTGGTGAAACAATTCGTAAAATATGAGCCGTTGTTGAAATTACAACAAAACCAATTAGAGGTGCTACAGAAATGAAATAAATTAAATGGTATTTGAAATTATAAGCAATTTAGTTATTATTTATTAATTATTAATAAGTTCATCAATAAATTTTTTAATTTTGTAAAGAAGCTTGTTAAATCAAAACCACAGAGAATTTCCTTCCCGTGTTTGTTACCTGTAAAAACATTTGATTTCATTTTTTGTGATGACCTCATCAAAGCTAACCCAATTAGCATCAAATCGAAACATGGTTTTGTTAAATGACTATACAAATGTGCTATCGAACTAGAGAAAACTGATATATCTTCCGTTAATCTAAAAATTTCGTTCAGATTCTTAAGTAAAATTTTAAAAAAAATTTTTAATTTAAAAAAAAATTATGTACCTATGATCTGCGTTTTCTATTCTTCCATCCAAATTTGATACCCTATAATAATTTTGACTTTTGAAGTATAATCGATATGAATGTTTTACAAGTCTTGTCCTATAAAAATATGTTTTTTTTTTTAAATTATTTTTTCTAAATTTACTAGAACGCATAAGAGTTTACGAAATTATGAAAATGTATTACAAACATTTAGAATAAGTGGGGCATAAAGTTAATTTACCTAAAAGCGAGTGCAAGTTTATTTTCTAAATATCTTATCATTGAATTGATAAATGTTGCTGGTATTGCAATTCCAAACCATTTTAATAGTGACATTGCAAACATTTTAATATCTCTTCTAACAATAAATTTAACAATTGCACCTTCTAATGATGCAACATATATACTCAAAAATGTTCTTGATATTAAACATAATGTATGTACTCCTAATAAACTTGTTTCATAACATAATGGACGTGGAATCATAATATATATTAATTTTTTTAATTGTAATAAAAATTCTTTATTAAAACCCAATTGATGATTATTATTAATATTTTGTTTTTGTTGTTGTTTTGCTAATAATTTTTCAGCTTCAGCTATTTTTAATTGGACATCTTCTTGTTGTTTTTGATGATGATTATTAACTTTCTTATTATTTTGATAATTTTTATTTTTGTTATATAATTTTTTATTCAATTTATTATTCAAGAAATCATTATTAATATTATGTTCGTTTAAATTTTCATTAATATTATTAATATTGTCGTCATCATCATCATAATCATCTTCATCCTCATTATTACAATTTACTTCATTTAAACTATTATCATCATCATCTTCATGATCATCATCATCGTCATCATCAACATCATCATCTTTATCATAATCTAAATTCAAAATTTCCTCATTTTCATGGAAAAATTTTATTCTTCTTTTCTTTTTATTACTTTTTCTTAATTTTTTATCATTATTCTTGCTTTTTTTTAAATTATTATTAATGTTTTCATCACAATAATCATAATCACTGTTATTATTATTATAAAAACTATTATTATTATTATTATTTAATTTTTTATTATTAATAATATGACGCTTAAATAACGGATAACTTAATTTTAACGTATAGGCAAAAACGGCAACACCAACTAAAGCTTTACTAAAAGATGTTTTTGTACCACCATATTGCTCATATTTACGTATTGAATCGTCAACTACTTTTGATAACACAGTCATTTTTCTTTTGTCCTATTATTTTATCTTCTATATTTTGTATAATTTTTTTTTTTGCATTTAATGTATAATACACTTTTTAAAATGCAATTCAAATTGTATTTTATTTGTGAATAAATTATACACCTGAAAAGAAAAAAAACGTATAAATTTAAATCAAAATTAATACTTTGTGAAATAAAATTATGTTACTGTATTTATCTGGCAATAATTCAGTGCTAGTTTTACAGTACGACCGATCACAAACTATATAATATGTAGTTCTAAATCGATAATAAAGTCGTTGACACATGCCTTGACGTAAAAACTGCTGTAAATTGCACGACAACTCATAAGTTAAATGATCTATTCGTGACATGTGATAGTGAAAAAAGCTTTACTACAGTTTATTCAAAGTGTTAATACCATACTGCGTAGTCAAAACCCTTGTAGATTTGTAGATTTGTACAACCCTACAACACAAGCTCGGAACCCACCCTCCTGATGAACTCAAGCAACTTGAACTCAAAACCCTTACTACGGGGTTAAAACTCATTTTCAACAATTTGAATCTTGTTACAATATGGATTACAGATACAATGTAGTACTAGATCAATACTGCATTTTCGATGTCATTGATATAAGTTTTCGAAATTTTGAAGACATGGATATTCGAAGAATATCTGGAGGCGGAAATTTTGATGACGCGGAACTTTAGTGTCATAATCATAGATGAAAACGGGGTAAAAAAAAAACCAATTTTTTCTTAGGCTTAAATTATTTATTTTTTCATTTATTTTTTTCCTTTCTAAAATATTTCAGGATTAATAAATAAGTTTTAGTATTACGCCAATTATTTTTTAAAAATCATATTTTCTTTTCCTCTTGAATTTCTTTATTAGGTTAAAAAAAGATCCTTTTTCTTTCCCTTAATTATCAGGAAGTTTCATTTATAAAGTGGCTTTACTTATTTTAGTCTCCTACTAAGGTGCAAAATTATAAAAAATTACAAAGAAAAAAAAGCAATAACAATGTAGTTAGTTCGGTAACCAATAGCACACAACGCATTGATAATATAACAATCCTGATAATTTAGAAAAATTCTGTGATTTTTTTAAAACTTTAACACAAACCCTAAGAGATTTTTTAAAAATTCGTTGAAAATATGTTGGGTGGCTTAAATGGCTCCTGCTAAATATAAGTCAAATTAAATTCATGTTTAAAAATATCTTAAAAGATCTTAACTCAAAAGTCAATTAAAGGGGTTCGAAAAAACTTGAAATTCCGTTTTATAAAAACGGAATATTCTTGTTGTTAAAATTAAAAAAATTGCGACAAAATATAATCGTTTTCATAAACGAAATTTGATTTCAAATAAAATTTGAACAAATAATCTATTTATTGTCTTTGGATTACGCAAAAGTTCTCGGTACTACTTTTTTTGAGAGAAAATGCTGTTGAAAAACAAGTTGAAAATAACAACATTGCACCAGAATTTTTGTTGGCAGTGCTGCTTTAGAAGTTGTGATTGCAATGCAATTTTAGGTAAAATGATCTCTCGCAGTTAGAACTGCGAATACGAGTTCAACCTATAGTAGCATATTTTTGAAAAATTAAAATATTTTGCAAATTATTTTAAATATTTAAAATAACTATAAAGATTACGGGTATAGTCTTTATAGAAATTTCTGTGTAAAGATTTTTTTAATTTCGGAATAAGTGAGTATCTTTTATGAACATTAACTCAGTTATAAAACTTTTGGAGACTTTTTAAACATTATTTTGAGAAGGAATCGCTGTCAACACTATTGCTATTAGTAGTATTCTTTTTTTTCTTTACAATAATAATTGTAATTGGTCCCTTGTGTTTTCCACCACCAAAATAATTTAAAAAGAAAAATTAAAAATAATATGAAACTGAGAAAAAAAAAATAGAGTTTTTAAAAGTACTCGTATTTCTTTTTTTTTATATATAAAAACAAGTTAAAAATATAATTACTTAAATATTTTTTTCTTTTCTTTTATTTTGTCTTTTTAATTGAAAATTCAAGTTTCCTAAAAGTAACGAAAAAATAAAAACTTAACATTTATTAAAAAACGAGAAAAAATAGAGTTGACCGGGTCAACTCTGTGATACCCGTATGAATTTGTTATCCCATGTGCGAGTAAATATATCATAGTATATTGTACCACTGAGTATGGGACAGACAATGGTGCAAAATTTCAGTACTGTGATTTCAATATTTTCTATGATATTGCCAAACTACTATTGAAGTTGTATGGCAGCTACCATAAGGTGTCAAGAAATTTCAACAATTTTTATCACATATAACAGCCCTAATAATACATTTCTTTTCACGAAATTTCTATATTTTTATATTAAGATAATGCCAAACAACTTTGGAGTTGTATAGTAGCTATCACAAGTGCTCATGACACCTCAACAACTTTCAATGAATATAGCTGCCATTTTATAATATTTCATTTTTCAAAATTTCAATACTGTAAGTTGAACAGTTTTTAAGATATAGACTAAATAACTTTTCAAATTGTATGTCAGCCACCAGTAGGAGCCAAGTTATTTCAGCGACTTTTATAAAACACATTGGCCATACAAATATATTCGCTTGTGTGAAATTTCAATACCACACCTTTTATAGTTTCTGAGATACAGCCAAATAAATTTGGAAGTTGTATGACAGGGACACGAACCAGTACCCCGCTCATAATCAATTTAAATAGGGTTCTGACGTTTACTATAATAATTCATTTGTGAAAATTTGGTGAATTTAGCTTAATTAATTTTTATTGTTGGGACGGATGGATGGATAGACGAACAGACAAAGCTGAATCGACGAGAATTCGACGCTGATGAAAAACATATACTTGAGTCTATATATCAGACCATTATATCTTAGCGTTATAAACGGTAAGGCAAATTTAGTATTCACTTCGAACATACTACATTCGTACGGGTATAAAAAGCCAAAAAAAGAATAAACGTTACTTACTCACTAATAAATTGGGCAATAAAAAGTAATTGCAATACGCACGCGTAATAAATTAAAAAAGCAAAAAAAACGACGTAGATATACAATGAGGGGAATAAATCACCATGCATAAGTACATAGAAATATATTGGGATTTCATTTTTGCATTTTATATGTATATACCATTATATAGTAATTGAACAACTTATATATAAACATTTCCAGATGTATAGTCATATAAAACTGAAATTTTAATATTCGCGCAAAATATTTGTACAATATTTCAGTTATAGGATCATATACTTTAAATACACCTAATAACTGGTTAATAACAACTTCATCAATAAAAATTTTTTATTTTACTTTTAAGTTTCTTTAGTTTACATAATAAATTTAATTAAAATATAAAATATATTATATTTATTTATATAAAGTTACGCTTATATATGTAATTAATCACGCTTTTAAGTCTTAAGCTTGGCAAATCTTTTAGTTCAGATGTAAGTATGGTATTGAAATTAGTCAATTATTGTTTGCAATAAAGTTATCATAAAGCAAAAGAATAAAAATTTCATGGATAAAGTAGCAATTCACTATATATTTAATATATACGCACACTGTATATACCGTTATAAGTTAAATGTTATTTTTTGCCTTGTTTTTGGTTGTGTTTGGACATTGACTATATACGATAATAAGTAGGTACATTTTCATTTTATTTTCAAAAATTTTAGAATAGATTACAAGCTGAAATACAACTTTTTTTTTGTTGTTAATTTTGCACAATCTCTCATAACTATTCTTTGAATCTTATATACAATGTCGTCATTATCTTTATTCATTTTTTTACAGCAGAGGTCAATTAAATTGTAAATCATGAAAAAAAAAAAAACTAGTACAATTTACTGGGCTTTTACGCATTAAAAAAAAGTCATCAACATACTAAAATAAAATCCAGAATCAAAAGCAAGGAAATTTAAAAAAATTTTAAATTTTATGGTAAACATACTTGAAATTTTATATCAATTATAATAAATTATCGTTATAATGTTGTTGTACCTACATCCGGAATATCATTTAAATTAACGTAAATAACACCATTTTTATGGTCCTACACTGGACCAGTTTTGACAACACTACACAAACATTTTTTTTTATTAAATATCCTTGAAAATCGTTATATTAAAAATCCGATATCTTCAAAATTTTGATTTTTTTAGTATGACAATATCAATTTCAACTATCTTGCAGTACTCTTCATTTCATTTTAACAATATACAGTTTTTAAAACAGCCTTATTAGGTTCTGCACAAACAGTACAGTAAAGTAAAGTAAAATAGACCTCATTTTATTTTATTTAACAGATTGCTGACTGTAGATTATATAATCAAAACAGAAAGATTTATTGAATTTCCCTTTGAATGCGAGATCATTCAAACTTTTAATATTGAAACTGCACACTAAAATTCTATATGAAAAAACACAAAATAACTTTTACTTTTTTTGTTTGTTATGGAAATTTGAGTACAATTTCCTATATTAATATTTTTTAATGTAAAACCTAACTTTTTTTTACAAAACACTTTTTTCTTTATATATCTTCATTCACACTGTCCAGAAACTAAAATATAATTCTGAATTATGAATTTCTAAATTATTAAGGAATTTAAAATGGTAATAAATAATCTTATCGTACAATAAGAAGAAGAATATAAAAAGAGAAATTTGTTAAATAAAACTTATTATATTATCCTGATTAAAATAATAAAAATAAAAGCGATGATTAGGCACATTATTAAAATATTTCTTTAATCTACGGCTACCGCCCTTTTCGATTTTTTAACCTACATTTTTAAGGTTAATAATCTTATAATTTTTAATTTGAAAAAACAATAGTTTCTCTTCTACTACACGTTGTATTAGTAATTCAGTAATGTTGCTTATCATTTAAATAGGGAAATAGATTTTGTTATCAAACTCTAGAGGAAAAAAAATTTCTATGGAGCGAAATCTTTTTGAATAAAATAAATAAAAATTCCATCAGTTGAATTATATAAGACACCATCCTTAATAAATCCCTTTCGAAATTCTCAACTGAAATTTCATCAATTAAAAAATCATCTACTCACTTCTATTATGAATTAAAAGTAGAAGTACAAAAGTAATAAAATTTTTATTGTATACACATTATTAAAGCATTTGAGGCATATAACTTTATTATGATCGGCCAAGCGAATGGCTAGGCGAATCAAATGATATTTTAAATTATGATCGGTGAATGCTTTCATTCGCCAGATTCAAAATGTTGCTACCGCAAAATATCAGAAAACGTACCAAAAAAAGATTAACACCACACATATGTACATTGTTTTTGTTTTTTTGCAAAAACAATTGAATTTTCTATCTATTCAATTGAAAAACAATTGAATTGCTGTTGGTGGCTTTTTTTCACTCTTAAATATTAAACAATCAATATTATTTACAATAACTTGTAGAATTTCATGAGCTTACTTTGCAGATAGTTTAGATTTTTCCATTATATCACTTTTTTTATTTAATACCATAATATTAAATAAAAAAAAAACACTTATGTACTAATTTGATTTTTGGTTTAATTTGCCAAGCTTGTTACACACAATTTTCATTCGACAGATTTGACAGATCAATCGCCTAAAATTTAGACGAATTCGCTAATCTACCAAAAATTCATATTCTCTAAAAACTTCATTCGGTTCGTCGATCATAATAAGGGCCATAATTAGAACTTTAAATGTCACGACCAAACATAACGTACTACCAACTTAATAGAAATTTAAACCTGTCTTTCTTATAATTTAAATATTAAAAGAGCGACTTTCTTAAGAAATATTCTAATCAATAATTGAGGATGCTCTAATTAGAATTATACTTCCATCTCATTTGAAAACCAATAAAATAATCTAAAGCTAGTCTTATTTTTTAGATTTTTTCATATGTATCTGTTATATGAAATAAATTTTTACAAGATTTAATATATAAATTTTATTATCTCGCTTTGTGTAGTTGGTAGGAAGGTAAGTACAAAAGTACTTAATGAAACTCTAAACTCAAATTATTTATATACATTGTAAATAATTTGTTTTACTTATTTTTTTTTTTTTAATATATAGATTTGTTGACCTATGGAATTTGATAATTATAATAATAGATTGTTTTTTATTGAATAGTTGATAATTTTTCTATAATATTTTAATACTTAATCCTTGCTTTTATAATACTATTATTACTTAATAATAAAAGTTGAATTTATATGACGTCGTTTAAAATAAGAACAAATTTAATTAAATTATTAATTTAATCATGATTCAATAAAATGTAGGCAAGTAATACAGAAAATCATTTTATCATTAATTTTAATCAATTGAATTAAAATAGCTAATCTCCTTATTATAAAGGGCAAATGAGTAGGTATGTAATAGATACCAACATACTATTTACTTCCTTGATAATAATATTAGATTTTAAAATAAACTTGTAAATTTTTACGATAATTAGGTAGGTACTTAATTAATTTTAAGATTGGTTGAAAATGAATAAATATTAAGGCCCACAAAATAAATGAGATTCGAAGGTAGTACTATTTGGGTCTATCAAATAATATAAAAACAGAAATTAAAATAATATACAACGCAATGAAGTGGAGAATAAGTATTATAAGATGAAAACTGTTTAACTTAAAGTATATATATCATATGTACCTACCCTTAATACATCCGGGGTCTTATCATATAATTCGATTTTAGTGTTTGCCGGAATGGAAAGGTAGTACCGTACAAATTGATTAATACTACCTTACCATTTTTCCGAAAACGAAAATCGGATTACATAGTAAGACCCCAGTTAGCTAGGACGGACATTAAACAGTATCTAAATATTTTCATAGATACCTACATATACATAAATGTATGGACATGTGGGTAGAAAGCCATAAACAATTTTAAATTATTAAAAACTATATTATAATTAAATGGATAAAACACGGGTAGGTACGTACATATTTAAAACTTTATGATGAAAAACACTTTGTTTGAATATAGGATTAAATTTTATAAAAATTATTTGAATGGAGTTATTAAAAAACTTGGTTAGCAATAATCAAGAAACATCTTTAAAACAATGCTAATTATTCATATTTATGTAATCAATAATAACAATAATGCTCAAGTATTAAAAAATTTTTAATATGAAAAAAACTCACCATTAGACTTTACTTTTACGTTTTGTGTTTTTTTTGTAATTACAAATTCGTTTACAAATTTGTAATCGAAATTGAATGGAAAAAAGAGTATTGCAATTAAATACTTTGTTTCAAATCAAAATAAATTCTAAAAAGAATTCCATATTTTCTAAAACAAAAAATAATTACAGTATAAAATAATTGTATGTATGTATGATTGTAAAATATTATTAACTGTGTTTTTTTTTTGCACAAAATTCGATAATTTTTTGGGAAATCTTTTGTTGTTTAAAATTGTACTTCATGTAAATATTCTTCTATTTTATAAAAAAAAAAAACACTGTTTTCGGTACGTAAGGTACCCTACATGCAATATATAAGTATGTACATATACATCATAGATATATTTATATTTGAGTACAAAAACTAAAAAATTGGCAGCTATTCATTTGATCGTTTTCTTTTATGTACTCATAGCGTCACGGTGACATTAATTAAATTACTATTTTTTTTTTCTTTCTAGTTCTTATTTAATAATTATATCATTAAACTGTAACTAAATACTAAATTTGTATACAAATGAATGTGGACACACATAAATATAGAATATAACAAAGATTTGTTTCCTAAAATTCGAAATTGAACACAAAATTTTTGTACAAAAAAAAAATCACAATTCACAATGAAGTTTTACTTAAATTCATTAATTTTTTGTTTTTTACTGGAGCAGAAGAGAATATAGCCAATTATCCTTTTCTTTTGATAACTATAATTTATTAGGACACAAAACTGAAATTTTTATTTACATACGTACATTGTACGTGCAACGTATGTTTTATATATGAAAACAGTAATATTATTAAGAATAAAAGAATATTTAAAAATTGTGCAAAAAAAATAATATTTACTTTTCTAGAACATTTGTTTGTTATTGTGAAATGTCAAAAAACAAAAAAAAAAATAAAAAATGTTCAAACTAAAATACTAAAAATATCAAAGAAAAATTAATAAATAAAAATTAAAAAAAAAAATCTCCTTATCCCTTCCATATGGAAGTTAGATGATACTAAACTAAAAAAAGCTCTAGCACTCATCTACTACGTGTTGATTGATAGCATTGCTTTGCTGCTACTTTTCCAAAATTCAACAAGAAAGCATTGCCAATTTCAATTTTTTTTGTCTTTTCTTGCGTAAATCAAAAAACATTTTTGAACTCTGTTCTGACTACATTTTAAAATTGTGTTTCCTACCCGTGAATCACTTTTCATATCTTTTACTAATGTTTTAAATTTCTATATCTAACAAGTCCCAATTCTATGAGAGAAACTTGAAAGCAAGATCTTATTTTATATGGACTTTTTCAAATCGAAATGGTTATTTTTTGAGAAGAAATAACAAAATAAATTAAGACTTTTTATAAATCAGGTGAAATTATGAAGTTATATCTATTAAATATACTAATAGTTTCATTTATAATTATTTAAAATTCTTAATACATGCCAACAACCGGAAGCATTACAAGTTCAACCAGCGCCTTCAACATTTCATTGTTTTTATTTGAAGAGCTTTTTTCCTTATAAGGTAAGTTAATTTAAGATACGGCAAGTAGTTGTAGTGCCAAGTTGAAACAATAATTATTAAATATTGCTATAAATACATAATAAAAAAAAAATATGAAGAGGGAATTAGAAATTAACATCTAAAATACAATTAAATACTATTTTACCAATACAAATTTTTTATATACTTTAAAATTTTACCTCAATTTTTATTTGAGAAAAATTTTAAAAACTTATCAACTACCTAAGTAAAAAAAAAGTTGGTTTTTCATAAACATAAGCTATATGGCAATAAAAATGTGCACAAATTAAATATAACACTTGTTTTTTTATCAGATTTTATGCCAGTTTTTTTTTTCTATATTGCCAGATTTTTTAAACTTTTGGGCGAAATTCTTCAGATTTTCTGTGAGATTAATATGGTACTACTGCATACACCCCTCCTTATTAAAATTTAAAGCAAAGAATATCTATTAATAAGTAATTAGACTCGCTACATTCCGTTCGTTTTCATTTGCATCTTGCTTCAAAATTCTTAAAATATTCCTTTTAGAAATAGATGGTAATAAGAGTTGTGTAGGCAAGAAAGAAACAAAATATTGTAAACAAACGAGTGTATCAAAAACATTGAACTGAAATAAAATTAAATTAAGTTAGTTAAAAAGTTTGTTATTTTTATTTTGATAATAACAAAATTTATTTTTCATTTTATTAAAGTTAGGTAAAAAATTCGAATGTATGAAAGCAAAAGAGTTTGAAATTTCATGTATGAACACATGCATGTACCTGTTACAGTAGATACACAGTATCAGGTAGTAGAAATAAAGTAATTTATAAAGAAAAAAAAAGGTGTATGCATACTGATTAATACTTTATGAAATATAATTATTACCGTTTCATGGAAAATATCGTCTAAATTTATTTAGATTGAAATAAAAATAAAAAATTTAAAGATAATTTATTTATTTTATTTATTAATAATTATTCGCCTTTAAAATTCTTAATATTTAAAATAAATATTTAAAATAAAACTTTATATAGGGAAATATAAATAACTCCCAGTTTTAAAAATACATTGTAAAGAAACAGGTATACATCTATTGCGTACTCTTTCCCTCTCCCAAAAATTCTTATGTGTATAAAAATGAAAATAAGAAGGTATGCTGCTTAACTCTTTTAGCTAAGGGAATTTTTGTATACAAAAATTAGTGAGTGATTGCATTAGTGTGATGTAAACGGAGAATCGAACTACTTATTAGTAGATATACTTTGATTTGAAGCTTGAAACTAAAGTATATCTATTTTATTATAAGCTTGAAGCAGCCATATAAACGGGGTACATATATGTTGCTACATCATATTGTGTATCTACCTTGAATTGGTTTTTACCATATAACACAGTAGAAATTTTAAAGTTATAACTATTAATTTCATACATTCGAATGTTTTTACCTATCTTTTATGAAATGAAAAATAAAATGTGAAAAAAAATTTTTGTTATCAAAATAAAAATAACAAAATTTTTACTTAACTTAATTTTATTTTATTTCTGTTCAATGCTTTTGATGCACTCGTTTGTTTACAATGAAATATTTTAATAATTTGGAAGCAAAATGCAAAAGAAAACTAACGGAAAGGAACGAGTCGAACTACTTATTAATAGGTATACTTTGCTTGAAACCATACTTAAATATGAATCAGTGTTGTTATTTTTACTACAATTGTACTTTTTTACTACATTTTTATATTGTATACTACTGTACTACTACATTTTTACTACTTTTTCGCTTTAATCCATAAAATGTTATTAGTAATTGTATTTGTTTATGAAAATGTCATTTGTATTATAACTACAAACACTACTAGTACAACAAAAAAATTAAATGTAGGTCTTTTTTATCAACTATTTAAACATAGTTTTTATCAACTATTTCAAAACGTTTAGCATTAAAATTTCATATTCATTTTTAATAAGAAGTATAAATGCGAAGTTTTGAAATCGGCTACATTAAAGGTCTACAGTCGGTTAAAAAATGTTTTCATACATGTAGCAATATTGTTATTGACGTTATTGTACAAAAAAGTTAGTAGACAATTGTTTTCAATATTTTGTTGAATTGTTTTTTGCAGCTATTACAGCATTGAAACAATTTTTTATACTATCAACTAATTTTAAGTCTTTTAAGATGTTCATAATATTAAGCAGCTAGATGCATAAATACGCTGGATATTCAATGTATCAAAAAATTTTTACAGATAGATTGAATTGAATGTTTTTCGAATTTAAAAACTAGAGAAACAAAGTATAAAATGATGGCACAGGATATTTTGATATTTTGTTAATATCTTTGGGGTAAATTCCCATATTATATATAAATCTAAATGCGACGGAAATACAATGAACTAGAAAAGTTTCGACTCACCATTGTCAGTTGTCTATAAGATGCAACTGTGTTAAAAAGTCGTAGATAAATCCGTCTTTTTGTAGAAAGGAAACCTAACAATTTCAAACCATATATTTCATCTGAAAAAAGGCTTGACCAATCAGACTATCTGTTCATTTATAGGGCCAAGGAGACGAGTGCTCTGCACTCCGAAGGCATAACAGTGCAGAACAAGTTGGTCTCAAAATAAAATTAAAATGCAATATTTAAAAAAATTAATATGCGTATCAGCTTTGTGGTAGCCTGAGGATACCACCTCAAAAAACCATTTTCCAATTAAAATTAAAAAAAAAAAACAAATACTAGTGTTTATTTGCAAGGATTTATAGATCCATTTCCATAAACAAATGTTTAAGTATATTCAAAATCAAAACTTTGCACTGAAAGGGTTTATACTAGCACCCTTGAGGTTAATTATATTTTTTTTTAAATTTAACTGAGTCATTCTAAAATTTTTGTACCGAAGAGAACCGGTTCGGTTTTCTTTCTTGACAAAAGTTAATAAATTTTAAAAAGATTCTCTTTATATACATTCAATCGTGAACGATCCCCTCAGGTTTTGAACGAACTTATATTGACAGTATTAAAATGGAATGTCAAAAATCACAAAGCAGTAAAGAGAAGATGAAAAAGTCAAATACTTCATTTAATGTTTTTATGAAAGAAAAAGATAAAATAATAGTGAATTAAATTATATATTTAAAACAAAAAAAAAAAAAGAAGAAGAATGAAAATTAGATTTTTTATATTTATGTATTATTGTATTTAATTTTTTTCAACAAATTTTATAATTATGAAATAAAGGAAAATATTTTATTTAATTGTGAAAAAAAAACAAAACCTTAAAACTTGCAAGAAAGAGATGTAAAAATTACACACATCGTACGATAAAATATATATATATATATTTTTTTTAGTGTAGAAAAGAAGGAAAAGAAAAATTTTTCTTAATAAATTAAATATTAGTTTTTGTTATTTTTTTTATATTGCAAATCAAAAATATCCAACAAATGAATTTTCACAAAATCTTATAAGACTAAAGGACACAAATTGCACAAAATAAAAACAAAAAGAAAAGGTAAAGTATTTAGGCACATATCTACACAGATAAGAATAAAATCTTTTCAAAATTTTTGATGGAAAAAAAAGGCAATAGTTTAAAAAGAAATTGTGTATAACATTATCTTCCCTACCTACTTACATATTGTATTTATTGTTGTATTTTTTTTTTATAATGGAAATATCAGATGTAATTTGGGAGTTTCAAATATCTACATATATTTTTTTTATTTAAATACCTACGTACATGTGTACCATATGTGCCTCTTTATTCAAAATTTCAAGTAAGAAAAACTAAAACTAATTTTTAATCGTGAAAATTTATTAAATATGAAAAGTACATGTATACAAAATACGTGTTCTATTCTTACATATTTACATGTAGTGAACTTATATGCATTTCCATGTAGGTAGTAGACAGGTTATATGCATATTTGAATATAAAAAATGATTAAAAATAAAAGCTTAAGAAATTAAAATTAAGAAAGAAATGAAATTATACCTGGGTTTCCATCTTATATATGTATAATATTGTAAATTATTTAGATTACCACCTACCCGGTGTATACATGGTATATAAAATATGTAGGCAGATAGGTGAATATTAGATAGGTTTATCCTATCTTTTATTCACCTATCTAGCATCTGCTTTATTTATTAGTTTTTTATTACTTATTATTTATTTGAAATATTTTTTTTCTCCAAAATTTATAAATTAAAGTGCACCTGACCTATCTTATCAAGTTTTTAATAAAATTTTATTTAGGATTAAAAATTTTGCTTGATTGATTTAATGTTTTATTTTTTAATCCCTATACATTTTAATTTTATTGAAAATTTATAAGAAAACTATATAAAGATCTTTTTACTTATGATCATAGACATAGTTATGTACATGTATAGATATTTAACTTTGCTCGTGCGACAGATATGTATCGCATATATAGTTTCACTTTTTATCATTAATGTAAAAATGATGAGAGAATATGTTAAATTATAAATTGGATTTGATATCTATTACAAAATCATAATAATGCACACAACTAATTAGCTAACTTACTGCGTATTTTATTATTATTGAGATAAGTGCATGTAACTAATGTAATTTGCCATGTTAACTTATCTTATTGATGTCATTATTTATAAATAGGCAATTAAATTTGAATTTAATCTGAATATTTTTACAATTTTTCAGTATGTATCCCGCGCTAAAATATAGAATTTTTAAGAGAAAATGCGCAAATTAAATGGTAATTTATTGTTTGTATTTAATTATTTTAAATGTTAATAAAAAATATACTTTTTTAAAATTATATACTGTATTGAAAATATTCGTTATTGTAATTTTATATTAATATATTTTTTTTGTTTAGTAAATTCGGCAATGCCACGACCACAAAGATCTACCCCACAGGCAAAGAGAGTTCCACCGCCTGCTGTACCAACAAGTGAAATGATTCACCATAGAAAGGATAATGATGGATCAGGAAATGATAAAAATTTGGTCAGTGGATATTCATCTATAGAGGATGGTGGCTTCACACAAACACGTGATTGTCCGGCTGCACTATCTGCAAAAGGTACTTACAGGATTTTAATATATTGGGATATTTAAAAAGAAAAAAATATACGAAAAAAAGAAAAATCCCACCTTTTTCCCAATATTAAATTTATGTATATTTTCAGAGGAAATTATAGAATTTAATACATTACAATCGAATTCTGGGACTGAAATAGTTGTTGGGCATAATAAGAGTCCTAATAATTTAAATAATAGTTCAAATAATCCTTATATAACACCAAATGCCTTTACATTCCCTATACTTGGTCATAGAAGTGGTGAACCGTTAACACATAAAGCAGCAGTATACTATCACCAGCAATTAGCACTACAAGAAGATCAAGGAATTGATTTAACACAATCGCCAGGACGTGATAGTCCTGGTAGCTCGTCTGGTTCAGCTGGTTCAGGTTCAAGACATTCTACTGCAAGTTTAGATTCAGGACGTGCATCATCGTATATAACATCAAGTGGCACAGCATCGACACGAGGTGCATTATCATCGCCAAGATGTAGTGTTAGTTCTTGTTCAATCGGTAGTGTGGATCGTATGAGTCAACGTAGTGACAATGACATAATAACTGATTGGTTAATTGATATAAAATTTGATGAATATATTCAGTTGTTTACTGCTGCTGGATATGATTTACCAACAGTTGCAAGAATGACACCAGAAGACTTAACAGCTATTGGTATAAAAAATCCTCAACATAGAGAAAGAATTAAACAACATATTGATAATTTGCAAATACCAGATGGTTTGCCAAATTTTGTGCCGGTATTTATTTATAATTTTATCCCTTTTGTTATCATCAGATTAAAATAAATATAATTTTTTCTTTGACTGATAGGGTTCGATAGAAGAATGGTTACGTTTATTACGTTTGGAGGAATATATCCAACCATTATTAGAACAAAACTATAAAACTGTACGTGATGTCACACAAGTAACATGGGAGGATTTAGAAGATATTGGCATTGTTAAATTGGGGCACCAAAAAAAAATTTTACTTGCTATTAAGAGAGTTAAAGATATAATTAGTGGTAAATGGAAAATGAAAGGCGGTAATAATTATCAGGTGAAATATTAACATACATAGATTAACCAGTAAGAATTTCTACATAAAATCATTGGGCTATTTAACTAATTAATTTGTACAGACATTAATTTATATTTCACATTATTATTAAATTTGCACATTATTTAAAATTAACACATTGCTGTTTATTTAAATTATCACCCATGAATTAATTTTCTATTTTAGATTTATTTTTTCTTCCATATTGCAAAGCATTTTGTTTATTTTTTGTTATTATCACTGTTTTTTTTTAATTTTACATTAATTTAGAATCTGCCACAGTATTATCCGGTACCACAGCAACAAGAATTCTCTGAATTTTTGAATTCCTCAAATTATATGAATTATCAGAATGTGTATCAATCTCGGCAATTGCAATCACATAACTTATTGGAATCGAATTCTCGAGCTTTATTCAAAAACGATACCACTTGTTGCCAAAATGTAAATTACGTTGGTAATTCAACCGATACAACATGTAATAATATTTATACAACACCTTCTCCAACAAATGGAGTTAATAATAAGTACCTTCAAACAGTACTACCTAATTCATTTAGTAATACAATAAGAAATCAAACAATACAAGATGAATGTAGTAATTGTGAAGAACAACAGCAACAACAACAAAATAGAAATCGTGTTTCCTGGGGAGATGATTCCTTAATTAGAAAGCAAACAGTTTTTAATGATAATTTTAATCAGTTAATAAATAATGATGAAAGTAATGATGTTGTACTTATAAAGGTAAGCACTTCTTGTGCTCTATTTTGAAATACGTGGAATTTAGAACATCTGTAATGTGGCAGTTTTAATTCGGTTTTAATTATCTGTGTGATAAGAAAAAACTTTCTTACCATTAAATTTTTTATTTGCTCATTTATTTCACACAATATTTCATTTTAAATTTTTTATATTTGTTAATATTAAATTTTGGTTTAGTATGATGTTTAATTAAAATCATAAATAAATTTTCAAAATAGATTCGTCATCCCCGTGGTAAAAGTTTGGAGTCCTTAGAGGATTTAAGTGAACGTAATATTAGGACACATTTAACATTTAGTCATTATTCAACTGATTACACGTATTTTCCTCAACATATGCAAGTACATCCTGCACAACAATTCCAGCAACAACATTTACAAATGCCTGATATTAGTAAGAATGTCTGTATTAACCCAAATTTTCCATATCATCTTGCTACCACGGTAAGAACATTTTCCGATTTTTTTCTTTTGTTTTTTTTGTATAACTTTTTGTTCCATGTTTTTAAAATTTTTAAAACTTTTATAGCAATGGAGGCGATCCTATGATGATGGTGATATAACTCCTACTAATGAAATAAGTGCCATATCGGGTACGTCAATTGATTTAATAGAAGGTGGCGGAACTTTACCTAGGCAAAGAGGAGGCAGTGCATCAGCTCGTTGTCGCCTTTTGGAACGTAGTTCGGCTACACCTTCGCCAGTCAACATGACTGGGTCTGGTAGCAATGATAACAATATGTCTCCTGGAACTGGAAATAATTGCGGAATTCAAGGTGGAAGAAATAATACACAGCATATGATATCTGGTTTAAATTATAATTGCATAGCACCGCAAGATAATATTATTTTAATGTCGAATTCAGTCGTAAGTTTTTGTTGTACATGTATTTCATTTCACAAAATTACTTTGATTATTTAATTTCCTAGCGTTATACAACTGGTAATAGTCCATTGACTAGTAAAAAACCTGCTCCAGAGCCTCCAAGGAGGCAATGTAGCATAAGACAAACTGGAAGATCGGCCAGTCTTCAAGAACCATCGTCATTAGTACCGGTAATGGCTAGTATTTCACTTCAACAACATTCAGCATATTTTCCGCAACAGCAACATTTAACTGCTGGAAATTGTGCTTTAATACAACAAAATACAAATCCCACCAGTAATCGAAATTTACAACCATTTCAACAACCAAAAAATTGCCATTTACAATCCCAACAAAATCAACAAAAACCATCCCAACAGCAACAACAGCAGCAGCAACAACCTATTTATGTTAACTATTCTAATATTCATCAAACAAAGGCTGAAGTTCATTGTGAACAAACCCACGATAGCAAGGTATAATATTAAAATTATTTATTCCCATGAACAATTTATTAATATATTGATTAATATGAATTTGTTTTTATAGAGCTTTCAATCGAACTCAAGTATTGATTCAATTGATACAATACCATTTGCCAATGAAAATACTGGTACTATTAAACAACGTTTACTCAATCGTCAAGAAATATCATCATCATTATCACTATCTTCATCATCATCCTCTTCTTCATCAACAAATACAATTGCTAATATAGCACAATCGTTTCATTCATTAAAATCATCGGGATCTCTACATGAAACAACACTTCACGGCTTAATAAGTGGTGGTGGTAGTGGAGGTAATAGCGGAAGTGGAAATTGCAGTAGTAATATATTAAATAGTGTTAACAAAACGAATAGTTGTGCTGGTAATATTGGAGATATTGAAATTACGAATAATGATGCCCCTTCACCATCGATTCCAATATATTCGCCAAATGAAGTCACATCTTCTATTGGTAATGTGGGTGCTGGGACTGCACTAGGAGTTTGTGTCGATATTTCATCAATATCATCACCACCGCCATTGTCGCCATCTTCAACAGCAACAGCAATAGTACCATCATCAGTGATAAATTCAGCATTATCTGCCAATATTTCAAATACAAATCAACAACAGCAGCAACAACAACAACAAAATGATTCAGTCAATGTTCTTAACGACATTGGAAATATGTTAGCAAATTTAACTGATGAGCTTGATGCCATGTTAGAAGAAGAAAAACGTGTAGGTATAAGTGATAGCGAATAAGTACATTAAAGAATAATTAGATATTAAAAAAAATAATAATAAAGAAAAAAATAAATAACTAATAAAATCCACATAATACGTACATTAATATACTAATGAATTCAGAATGAGATAATATTGTAAAATTGTATAAAACTATATTACTATAGTAAATATTTAAAATAACTTTAATTATATCGTAAGAATAGATATATACATATAGATACATATATATACATATAAATTTTAATAATAATCATAAAAAAAATGTGGAAAACACTAAATTAAATAATAGCTATATATTTTGTTATATTTATAAGTACTTTATGAACTTACCTATATACATATTTCAATACATTATGACACAATTTAAAGTTAAATTTATAAGAATACTTGAAATCAAATTCCTAATATATTTAAAAAAAAAATTTTCTAGGTTCAGTTTTAACCACAAAATTTGTGATTTCCAAAAGCTAATAACTGGTTATATTTTATCCTTTTTGATTAATATTTGATAAAATCTAAAACCGAATTCCTTTTTTTATTAAATTAAGATACTTTTTTAATCTAATTGATCTAAATCAGCATATAGCAGTTTTATTATGGTTAAAATTTGAAAAAAGTGGTTGAGTATTTACCACATTTGGTTAGATTATTTTTTTTCTTTACTTTATATTGTTTGTCGTAAGTGTTCATGAAGTTAAATTTATTTCCAAATTAAGCGCATTTGTACTTTAATATGATGAAACAGTTATTAAATCAGTATTGTTAGATTTTTAAATATCAAGCTATAATTAGTTTCAATAAAGCTTCTATTTAATTGAATATTAACTTTGTAATGATATAGTTGAATTGTTTTTTTTTTTTAAAGTGACCTAAGTTCACTTTTATTTCAAATGAAATTTTGCTATGTTTGCATTTAGGATAATTCAAACATCTGGTTAATTGATAATGTGTTGAAAGTATATTTGTTACTCTATAATTGTTTATATTTAAATTCCAATCATTGGCATTACCATTGCATGAAAATAAAGATGTTTCGAAATTGGAAATTACTTAGGTCATCTTCAAAATAACGATTCAATTATAAAATCAAATTTTTTGTGATTTCTTATTTTACAATTTTTTTTTTTAATGAGACCACTATGAAATTCTTCATACAACAATAGGTTTTTAACGAAATATACACAAAGTTAGGTTTTTTCTAATTGCTGGTTAATATACTAATATAATTTGCTATATTAAAAAATTGAAGTTATTGTAGAGCGGAAATCGTCATGTTGAAAATATGCTAAGTTGTGCATTACAATCACTCTTTTTATGAATAATAATTCTGTTTTTATGAGTATGTAAATATTTAAAAGCTTGGACATATATATATATATCTAAGCTTTTTTGCTTAGTAGAAATTTTTTGAAAATTCGTTAAGATCCCTGTATCTCAGAAACCGATGGGATTTGACAACTAGTTCCAAACAAAAATTTTACCCATTGATGTCCTAAACAATGATATATAATATTGTACTCTTTACTGAATCACCCTGTATGTATAAATGTCTATATTTATATATATATATATATATTATAAAACTATAATATACATAAACATAATATTTATATAAATTTATAATATGTATATATATATATATATAATAATGTTTCAAAATAGTGTAAATTTTATAACTTGACATATATATATGTACCTATAAAATATATAAATTACTAATACTTGTATATAACACATAGTTATGTCTATATTATTATCCAAATATTAAACACAAAGCAGAAAAATCATGTTAATTAAAGTTATAATTAATTATATATGATTATGATAAAAAGCATATTAGACATCTTTATATTAAATATATATTTGTAAATCATTTAAAAAAATAATGAAATAAAAACTGTATAAGTAACTAAAAATGTGAATTTCGAGAAGACTCAAAAATTAAAATGATGATAAAAAACAAAAAAAAAAGAAACTAAAATGTGACAATTTTTTGAATTTTCTGAAATTTTTTGCGCTATCTCATTTTCTTTAGCAATAAACAGAAACATTTTTTATACATAACTTTTTTGTTTTCATAATTTTTTTGTTAAATAAAAAATGAAAATAAAAATATACAATAAGTCAAAATATCCTTCAAACTCAATTACAATATCTTATATATGTTAACTTACGAAAATACATACAAGATTTTGGCCTTTTTGATCTTTTAAACATATTACCTGAAAAGTATATATCTCGATATTATTAGAAACAAAATGAATCGTAAGTTTTTATTTAAGTTTCTCTGTGATAGATTTTCAAATATCTTTGCACACATGCTATATATTTTAAGAAATTGTTTTATTTTGAAAAACATAATTTTGGTATATTGTATATATGCAAATCAAGTTGTGTTTTCAATTTTGATTCGTATATTTATAAATTTCATATCTTATATTTTTCTTATAGTGATTAACAATCGCTTGTAAGAAAACATTAAACAAATAATATTTTAATTGGCATCGTTCAAAACACAAATGCAAATGATAATAATAGCAACTTTATTTATCTTACTTTCAACATTCCATAAATATACATGTACACACATACATATATATATGAATATTATATAATAGATTTTTATAAATTATAATATTTAAAAACAAAAATATAATTTGTTTTTAAATATTATTTACGCATATTGTCTTAAATATTGGCACCTATATTGGAATGATGGGATATTATTAAAAATCATTGAGGTTTTCACTCACAACTACAAATTTCACTCACAACTAACAGAATATATCCAATTGTTTTTTTTTTTTTTAATTTCAAATTTTAAAATTTCATTTGAACTAAACTTTCAAAGATATATGCAAATTTAACAGTTCAGTCAACCACAATAGATGAAATAAATTTCTGCTAATAATAATCAAAATTCCAGGAAATTTGAAATTGAATTGGGACGAAAATGCACTTTACTTTTTTTCGTTTTTTTTTTGTAAATCAAAATAACAAAAACAATATTGTAACAAATTTTTATAGAAATGCATTGCAGGACTTATATATATACTAAGATAATCTGTTATAAATATATAAAAATGCTAATATTAAAAAATATTAAAAATTTAATAATTAAAAGTAAAAAATAATAAATACTGTCTAAGCAATTCCCTTTTTTTACGTTTTGCAGAAGAAGGAAATTCTCATAAGTTTAAAAAAATTCTATTATGTATTTTGATAAAAGCAAAAAAAAGAAATAATCTTTTAAATACAAACTTAGTAAAATTAAAAAAAATATCTTTTCATTAAAATAAGTAAAATTTTATCTTATCCAAATTTACTGGTTTATTATTGCAATGTCCTTGTTTTCATCAAGAGAGAGTATAGTATGCCCACTCAATTAACTCTAACATGTTTGTTCAAGAATTTATTTAATTTAACTTAATTATTTTTGATAATTTTAATATTAATGAAACTAGCAGACGATCTTGAACAATAGAAAGAAAATTTCAGAAACTTAAAATTAAAAAATTTACTCACTATTATTTCTGCTGGCCTGGTATTTTGTTTGAAAATAATATGCAAATTTTGACTATAAATGGGTAAAATAAAATACCAGACCAACAGGAAAAATAGGAAGCAACTTTTTATTTTTAATTTTCTGAAATTTTCTTTAAATGGTTCATGATCGCCTGTTACTTTCCCTAAAATTTGAAATTTGCAAAAATGACCAAAATTCTAATTTTTATAAAAAAAAATACCAGGCCAGCAGGAAAAATAGGAAGCAACTTTTTATTTTTAATTTTCTGAAATTTTATTTAAATGGTTCACGATCGCCTGTTACTTTCCCTAAAATTTGAAGTTTGCAAAAATGACCAAAATTATAATTTTTATCAAAAAAAATACCAGGCCAGCAGAAAAAATAGGAAGCAACTTTTTATTTTTAATTTTCTGAAATTTTCTTTAAATGGTTCATGACCGCCTTTTAATTTCCTTAAATTTAAGTTGGGAAAAATGACCAAAATTATAATTTTTATCAAAAAAAAAATACCAGGCCAGCAGGAAAAGTAGGAAGCAACTTTTTATTTTTAATTTTCTGAAATTTTCTTTAAATGGTTCATGATCGCCTGTTTCTCTCACTAAAATTTAAAGTTTGCAAAAATGACCAAAATTATAATTTTTATCAAAAAAAATACCAGGCCAGCAGGAAAAATAGGAAGCAACTTTTTATTTTTAATTTTCTGAAATTTACTTTAAATGGTTCATGATCGCCTGTTTCTCTCCCTAAAATTTGAAGTTTGCAAAAATGACCAAAATTATAATTTTTATCAAAAAAAAAATACCAGGCCAGCAGGGAAAATAGGAACAACTTTTTATTTTTAATTTTCTGAAGTTTTCTTTAAATGGTTCATAATTACCTGTTACTTTCCTTAAATTTAAGTTTGCAAAAATGACCAAAATTATAATTTTTATCAAAAAAAATACCAGGCCAGCAGGAAAAATAGGAACAACTTTTTATTTTTAATTTTCTGAAATTTTCTTTAAATGGTTCATAATTGCCTGTTACTTTCCTTAAATTTAAGTTTGCAAAAATGACCAAAATTATAATTTTTATCAAAAAAAATACCAGGCCAGCAGGAAAAATAGGAAGCAACTTTTTATTTTTAATTTTCTGAAATTTTCTTTAAATGGTTCATGATCGCCTGTTACTTTCCCTAAAATATGAAGTTTGCAAAAATGACCAAAATTATAATTTTTATCAAAAAAAAATACCAGGCCAGCAGGGAAAATAGGAACAACTTTTTATTTTTAATTTTCTGAAGTTTTCTTTAAATGGTTCATAATTACCTGTTACTTTCCTTAAAATTAAGTTTGCAAAAATGACCAAAATTATAATTTTTATCAAAAAAAATACCAGGCCAGCAGGAAAAATAGGAACAACTTTTTATTTTTAATTTTCTGAAATTTTCTTTAAATGGTTCATAATTGCCTGTTACTTTCCTTAAATTTAAGTTTGCAAAAATGACCAAAATTATAATTTTTATCAAAAAAAATACCAGGCCAGCAGGAAAAATAGGAAGCAACTTTTTATTTTTAATTTTCTGAAATTTTCTTTAAATGGTTCATGATCGCCTGTTACTTTCCCTAAAATATGAAGTTTGCAAAAATGACCAAAATTATAATTTTTATCAAAAAAAAATACCAGGCCAGCAGTAAAAATAGGAAGCAACTTTTTATTTTTAATTTTCTGAAATTTTCTTTAAATGGTTCATGATCGCCTGTTACTTTCCCTAAAATTTGAAGTTTGCAAAAATGACCAAAATTATAATTTTTATCAAAAAAAATACCAGGCCAGCAGGAAAAATAGGAAGC